CACTGGCAAACTTAATAGCAGCATAAAGTATACCGATTTTAACATTAAAAAAGGGAATGCTTTATTGTCTGTCATTTATACTTAATCTAACTGTATCTGTTGAAGCTTCCTGCAACAGGAATTCGCAGGCCAGACAAAGAATGTTAATGATGAAAGGGCCAAGGCCTTGGTTTTGAAGAACCTCACTCTAACAGTTGCTCTATTGCATAGAATCATGGAATGGGTTGGGTTGGAAGGGACCTTAAAGCTCATCTAATTCCAACCCCCTGCCATGGGCAGGGACCCCTCCCACCAGCCCAGGTTGCCCAAAGCCCCATTCAGCCTGGCCTTAAACACCTCCAGGGATGGGGCAGCGCCTCACCATCCTCTGAGTAAAAAACTTCTTCTATGTATCTAATCTAATCCTACCCTCTTTTAGTGTAAAGCCATTCCCCCTTGTCCTATCACTTTACTCCCCAACAAGAGTTCCTGCCCAGCTTTCCTGCAGCCCCCTTCAGGCACTGGCAGGCCGCTGTAAGGTCCCCCCAGAGCCTTCTCCTCTCCACGCTGAATCACGCCAACTCCCTCAGCCTGGCTTCATAGCAGAGGTGTTTCAGCCCCTTGGTCATCCTCATGGCCCTCCTCTGGATTCATTTTAATACTTCCATGTCCTTCTGATGCTGCAGGCCCCAGAGCTGAATGCAGGGCTCCACGTAGGGCCTCATAAGAGCAGAGCAGAAGGGGACAATCCCCTCCCTTGCCCCGCTGCCCACACTTCTTTTGCTGCAGCCCAGGGTACAGCTGGCTTTCTGGGCTGCAAGCGCACATGGCCAGCTCATGTGGAGCTTCTTGTCAACCAACACCCCCAGGTCCTTCTCATTGGGGCTGCTCTTGATCCATTCACTACCCAGCCTGTATTTGTGCTTGGCATTACCCCAATCCAGGTGCAGGACCTTGCACTTGCCCTTGTTGAACTTCATGAGGTTTGCACAGGCCCACCTCCCAGGCCTGTTGAGGTCCCTCCGCACAGCAGCCCTTCTGCATATTGACCGCATCACACAGCTGAGTGTCATCAGCAAACTTGCTGAGGGTACATTCGATCTCACTGTCCATGTCACTAACGAAGATGTCAAACAGCACCGGTCCCAATACCGACCCCTGAGGAACACCACTGGTCACTGACCTCCACCTGGACATTGAGCTATTGACAGCAATTCTGAGTGCAACCATCCTGCCGATTCCTTACCCACCAAGTTGCTCACCCCTCAAATCCATGTCTCTTCAATTTATAGACAAGGATACGATGGGGGACAGCATTAAATGCCTTGCACAAGTCCAGGTAGAGGATGTCAGTTGCTCTTTCCCTGTCCACCGACGCTGTAACCCCATCGTAGAAGGCCACCAGATTTGTCAGGCACAACCTGCCCTTAGTGAAGCCATGCTGACTGTCACCAATCACCTCCTTATTTTCTATGTGCAAATTTCTTTTCTTCTTTTGAGGAGAGCTAACCCTGGTGTAAAGGATGAAAACAAAGTGACAATGCATTGCCATTTTGCCAATTCATTTTTGGAAACAGGATTAACAAAGGCATTTAAAAGCAATAGATACAACTTCAGAAATGTTTCTTTATCCAAAAAAACATTTCCTTTCAAAGTAGTATTTTATTTGGAAAGGAGGATTCTTATTCTTGGTACAGTGAGTTTCTTGCAGCAGACAGAGGCCCCAACTTAAGGCAAGACACACACACTTCCCTTGTGCCCAGATAAGCTTCAGAGATGTGTCCCCTAACTCTAAATTTGTTTAAGGATTAGCCAAGGCTCTGTACACATGAATTGGCATAACAGTGGTGAATTGTTCATGTCCATTAAAAGGAAAAGTCTTGAGAGCATCCAGACTAATGAATTTAATTCCCTCTTAGAGATAGATGTGTTAATTATTAAACAAACCAATATTACAGACCATGGTACAAATGATAGTCTTAAGAACACCCTCACTCATTTGAATACGTGCAAACAGGACTTAGGGACTTCTTACACAATTTACAAGTGGTATACTTAGAAAAGGGATAAATGTTTTAAAATTAGGCTCCACTTCTGTTTATATAAGTTCTCCCTGTCCCAATCTGACTGGGCTAAGACTGAAAGCATTGAAACAGCAAAAAAAAAAAAATGCCAGGGAATAAAAACAGGGAAATTCACAATGTTTTTGTTTTTGGTTTGTGTCTTTTTGTGATTATATTTTTTGTATTTCAGATGACTGCCCTTCCTGCTCTGCTGCATCAGTAACAATGTCTTTCTGTTTCCCATTGTAAAATCTGACTCTCTAATAAATTACTGCCTGCACAAAAAGGAATGTGCTCGTTTTAGCACATAGCACCAAATTCCCAAAATACAGTGTAATTCTGAGACAATAAGAAATGCCAGGTCTTAGAATTTAAACTTCAATACTGTTATGGAGAAGGTAAATTGGCTGCCAGGCACTGGAACTAAACCAGTGATCATGACAGTCAACTCTAAAGCCTGAATCATCTTAAATGAGAAGCATAAAAGCTTATTGACACATGGTTTAAAAAGTTGGACTGATAAGAAAAGCAAAGGATCAAAAGAAGCATAAAACAAAAACAAAAAAGAAGGGGGAAAAAAGGAAAATAAAGCACGGCAAAGGAACTCTGAACATGAAAAATAGATCAACTTGTACCAGCAACAGAAAACACCCTGGGGTCATTCCCTTGTTTTCATTCTCTCACAAGTGGCATTTTTATCAGCAAGAGGAAAATGAAGTAGAATTGCCTTCACATGATGCTCTACCTCTAAACATTTTCTCCGCTTCTCTCAAGATTTCAGTAATTATTTAGATAGCACAATGGGTAGTGACACTATCAAGGGACCCCTGGAAACTGCATTTGGACAGAGGAGTGTGGAAGAAAGGTGTAACTGGCACTGAACTTCATTTTCTGTTGTGCATACATAACACATTTCATCTCCCAAAAAGGCTGTTCTTCACAAGCTTTGCATTGTTTTATTTTAACAGTTGTGTTTAACCAGTTGCATTTCACAGATACTGTTAATAAAAAGAACTGGCAAAGGGAATGGCCAGAATCAGGTGCTGTTAAAAATCCTTCCTCTCTGTACTTCCGTCTCATCTGCTCCCCATTCTTCCCCAGGAATGACAAAGAGCAAACACCTTGCAGTGCAGCCTGAAAATTAAATGGATGGGGCTGAATTGAAGCAATTTCACAGCTGCCGACTTTGAAATCAAGGCAGGGGAATGCTGCATACAGCCATCAGACTGATTGCCCCAGAGCTGTGCAAGGAGACAGCTGCCCTCTCAGTTATCCAGAATTCAGTTCTTATTTTACAGCTGTAATACCAACATGTTCATTTTAGAATTGCATCTGGAAATGACCTAGTTTAATTTACTTCCTTTCAAAATACTGGTGGCAGCATTTTGCAAATGACAATACTTTCAGTTCAGCATATATTTTCAACCACAAAAGCTAAAATAATCAAACATACAATTTTTGATATCAAACCCAGAACACAGATAATCTCATAGTTTATCTAAACCATTGTTACAGCTGGTGAGTAGATTGCTATGATTTGTAAGACATACAAGCAAAACAAAAAAAACACCACACAACCCACTTGCCGGCCACCATAGTAAGAAACCAGTTCAGGCTGGGGTAACGTCTGACAGCAGACAATTACTGATGCTGTCTTTAAATAAGAAAATTTCCATCTTTTTTCTCTTAAAAAAAAAAAAAAAGAAGAAAAAAGTCCATAGGAATATGAAGCTGTCCTTGATGTTCCCTGCAAAAAACGTGATTGGTATTGCATTATAAAAGGTTGAGGTACAGTACTGTAAGCTCCCTACTTACCTGACGGACAGATGAGTTGAGCCTGAGCACTTTCTTCCTAAGCATACTGCCCAAAGTAATTCCAGTTTCAAATAATCCACTTATCAGAAAAATCTTAAGCCATCCTTAAGGATTTTCTTTTTCTTTTTAAAAAGATCAGCCTTTCTGACAGCCAGCAGAATTCTTATCTTCATCAAATTTACTAAAAGCGTATACAGACTCATAACCAAGTTACCACGGTTCACCATGGTTCTGCACATCAGCAGCACAGTGGTTCTCCATCACCTTCACACCTACCCCACAGCAGTTACAGGATACTGAGCCCCACCATGAACAGCAAAGAAACTTCTGGCCAGAAGGTGTAAAATATGTTGCTTTAGTGTGGATTTGCTGTACTCAGAGTGTTCACACAGTTATCTTGACTCTAGATGCATTCTAGCCTGCTAAATTTGCCTTTGTGTACAAAGAAGGGCAATGAAGCTGGTGAAGGATCTAGAGTACAAGTCTAATGAGGAGCAGCTGAGGGAGCTGTGGTTGCTTAGCTTGGAGAAAAGGCAGCTCAGGAGAGACCTTATTGTGCTTTACATTGACCTTAAAAGAGGTTGTAGTGAGGTAGGGATCAGGTTCTTCTCCCGAGCGCCAAGGGATAAGGAAATGGCCTCAAGTTGTGCCAGGAGAGGTTTAGGTTGGATATGAGGAGAAATTTCATTACTGGCAGGGTTGTGCTGCATTGGAACAGGCTGCCCAGGGCAGCGGTCGAGTCACCATCCCTGGAGGTCTTAAGAACCGTGCAGATGTAGAACTTCATAGCATGGTTTAGCGGTGGATTTTAGTGCTAGGTTAAAGGTTGGACTACATGATCTTGGAGGTGATTTCCAACCTGAAAGATTCCTTGATTCTATAACTGGATTGCAGTTCTAAATGCTACAGCTTTCAAGGAAGCCATTTTACACAGCTTAACTCCACATATTTCAACTATTTCATTTTACCCGTTTTAATCTTTACTTTCTACCTAATCAATCTGAATACACAAGAGACAGAGAACTATATTATTCCACAATTACTACTGACACAAAATACCAACTCCCACTGTATCAGCCAGCCCACCCAGATAATAATGGGCACAATTGGGCCTGCTTCATGCAAGCAAACCAAGACTCTTACCTGTTCGGGGCTCTATCGTCTTGTTGGAACCTTCATCCATAAACACAAACCGTCCACCACCAAAATCTTCAGCATAGTCAGACAGATACAGCAGTGAAGTATAGTCAAAAGAGCCGTAAGTCACCTAGGAGTAAAGTCAACAATTACTAAAACTTTACAACATTCTGCTCTCATCTTTGCAGAATATAAGTAATTACGCAGATAGAACTGATTGGCTTTCTAATTTTCCACTTGTCACATATTTAATAAAAGGGTCACTGGAAGAACAAGAACATTGCCATAGCAATTATCCATGTTTATTAGTCTATACTGTTTATACCCAGACTACATACATATTTTACACAACTAGTATTTTACCTGTATTATTTTTATTATTACAGTTTGCAAAACTAAAGAAATGGTTTTATTGATCTTTGTCATCCTACCTCTACTGAACATCTGGCAAAAAACACAGTGTCAGAAGTTACACCTTTGCATCAAATCAAATATATGGAAATGCTCAGATTTATTTATATTATTTCAAAATCAAATTTCCCCATAATGCTGATAAGAACCAAAACCAGTCTGTTTAATTAACCATATCTCTTAACTAACCACAGTTCGAGGTTTCTGGAAACCTCACCTTTTACTCTCTCCTTCACCAGCTATCAAGCAGAAGCTTCATGGTAACAGTGAATCAGACCTTCCCAATAAATACACCTTCACTGGAGGAACACCTGCTCCTTTCTATACAGGTTTTAGGTTTTGTTTTTTTGTTTTGTTTTTAAAACTTTCACACATGGCTTTCAAAGTCTCTGCTTCCTCTCAGCCTACAGAACAAACATCACATTTTTAAGTATAACAGAGTGATTTTCATTCCTGTTAAAGCATTATTTATTTGCCTCAATATGAATATTGAAGATGGAGAAAAGAAATGGTATATATCAAATAGCTTCTCTCTGAGCTTTAAGTACTTAACACTGAGCTGAAAATACTTCCTTTTCATATCTAGGTCACCTAGAATCAAAAACATACTTAGGAATCAATGGCTGTACTCTCCAATTTCTTTACAGTATATCACAACTCAATGAAGTTCTGCTTTACACTGTCAAAAAGCAAAATGTGCAGCACAGAAGTAGTGCATAAATATACAACATTAGCAGAGTGTTTTGTCTGACCTGGTGACTGTTAAGAGGTAAGTGCTACTTCCAAACATAGAAGTTCTCTGATTTATTTTTTTTTTTAAGTTACATTCATTAGTACCAGTTAAATTTTGGCTCAACACAGTTGTACACATTATTCTGTAAGATAACACAGCAACAGATGGGATAGGAAGACATTTTCATTCTTACTCATTTTGTTATTTTGACCATACAAGCTTAAAAACAAAATCCAAATCCAGCAATAAGCAGCACTGCACAGTCCAAGTCGAAAGAATGAGAAATGTTTTGGTGATACCCTTGTCCCTATATTTACCCAAACCTTATCAGCAATATAAGGCAGTAAATGTGAATTAATGAGCACATGCTACAGCAGTACCTCAAAACAGCCAGTCTACAGCCCTCCTCCTGCAACCAGCTTTGCAAAGCTATCTATCACCTTCACCACTTTGGTGATTAGAATCTCCAGTTAGCTTAAGGCTCAGCTTGTTCTACTTCAGGCAAGAAAGGCTGGCAAGGGATATGAACACTGCCTATATGGGGATAGGAGGAAGTGGAACAGGGAGAGGAGGGGGGAAAAAGTCTTCTTAATGTAAAAGCCAGGGTTCATGCAAACCAAAATAGGTATAAACTGAGCATGAGTAAGTCTAAGCTAAAAAATTGCACCAAAGTCCTGGAATAGTTTTTTCAATAGGAGAAATTCAAGGCAAACAAAACAAAGCCAATTCTGTGTCAGAGCCTGACAAGTCTGTGAAGAATGACAGGATCCTTCCCTTGAGACTGCAGAACTCTTCTAGTCCCGCATTACTTCTCTTAGAGAACATTATAAGACTATTCTGCTGTCAGGGTTGAGTATGTAACAGCAATTCCATTATAAATCAGGCATTTGGCGTTTGAAAGATCCAGCTCCAAACAAATTCCATCCAAGATGAAATTCCACATCTTAAGACAACACACTATTCAATCTACCTTGCTTATAAATTCAGCAAGATTAAATGATTCATTTAGGTGATTTAAGGGTTTCCATTTCCATGTAACTGAAAACCAAATGGATTTTTTTCCCCCTAAAATTCAATCTCATACACACATAATAGAACTGTGCTGTTCCGTTATGCAGTTAAAATATTCCAAACCAAAGATGTTCAGATAGAGAAATGTAATTGCAATATACTCAGCAATTCAGGGGAAAACGTAAAATGTTCTCAAGTGCTCCAAGGAGCCTGCATCTTTGAACCACCAGCATCAGGCTTTGAAAAAAAATGTGTCAGATTCATTTTTCAAAGACTTGATTTTACCTTTCTTTTGCAAAGAGGAGAAAAAAAAAAGCTGAGGTTTTCTAGCAGCAATCCTCACTGTTTAATTATTATGCAGGAATACACAAAAGCATCCAACGAACTGGCAAAAGTTTCAACATCCTGAGTTCTATCAATCTTTCTTAAACATCTAGTATTCATGATTGTTCTGGAGGCCACACAGAAATACTATGGCACTTCTTCATACAGTAATTCTTACTGCAGATCAATAGGGGCACTTTTTCCTTCTTTTCAACTGCAGTGAAAATGAACAAAACTTGGTTTGTGTTCTCAACTGCAAAAACTAAAACACCAGGCAGGCTGGCTGCACTGAAGACACACTGGGAAGCAACTGGTCTATCCTATTTAGCCTTCCCTGAAATATTTTCTGACCTACTGATCTTCCTGTTTGAGTTCAGTCTCCTGCAGAGCTTTGAATCTAAATGCTGTATAACCTGACCAGCTCTATATAATTATTTTTTACCTTTTTCTAAGCACACAATATAGATGGACATTTTATATACCTACAATGTAGATGTACATTATATAATACATATGTACGTCTACAGTAGGTTAAAATTATATGCAGACCTATATATTCAACACATACTGTAACTTTTTCTGGAAGCCATGATCAGTAAACACATAAGAGAACACTGCATCTACAGATAGCTCCCTTCCAATTGTACTTAAGACAGAGAAATTAGAGGCTTGTTTGTGCAGCAAGGAAAGGATTCAAATTAATCCTCTGATACTACTTCAAGTGAATGATGTACCAGAAGTGAAGATCAATATCCAGAAGCAATGATACAAGATGATGTAATATGGACTTCCACGATGGACATGAACAGGACTGAGGATGCCTCCCTGTCAGACCCTGTTTAGGGCTCCATTAGCCCAGTTCAAACTGTTTTCTACTACCATATGCAAACTGCTATCATTTAAACCACAGATGTACATACATTACCCGGCAATAACTGAAGTCCCATATCCCAGAGAAGGGACAAACGACTGAGCTGAGGCAGTTTCTTTGAGAATGATCCCAGCCCACGGTGGTTTGTCCATCTCGCTTCAACACTTGGCACTGCTGACAGTATTTGCTCCATGTGAAGATCAAAGAGTGAGAATTGGACCACCACATCATGAGCTCAAGAAGCACTTACAAAAAAACTGCTCTAGGTCTCTGTACATAGGACTGTACAGAGACTGTACTACTGTACCCAGGAACACTGTTCACCATAGTTGTGGTCTGGAAAGTTCCCTGCCCCTCCCTCCAAAATAAAAGGAACTGATCCACACAAGTGGGACCCACATAAGGCTTCCAGCTTAACATATAATGCTGTCTGGACAGCGCAGACAGTGGCCCAGCATTGGCATGTTCACATGCAATCCTCACTGTAAGGATGCTTTTTAAGAGCACGAATGAAAATAACATTAAAATGTATTTCAAACACAGAAGATAATTTCAAGGTGCAGACAAAAAACACTTCAGCAGTCTGAATGCTTTACCTTTCCCAGTAGTGAGCTTCCTGTGGAAGTCAGCTGTTACAGAAATGAAAAAGCGTTCAAACTATCTACACATAATAAATAGGACAGTGCACAGTTTTAACTCACACAGTATAATCCAAACTATACTTCCCCCAGAAAATACCTTGAAATCTAGCATACCACATTTTCACATTTTAGAACAGGTATGTGATTTTGGGGGGAGTCAAATTCTACATGATCATGAACAAGGTGTTTTGTAACTGTCCCAACTGCGACAATAATCCTTCACGACTGTCAAATCAGACTACCCAATTGTACACTACAGAAACTATTAGGGTTTAGATAATGCACATCAGATTCGAGAGACCACATTTTGTGGGTGTTTTTTTTTTGTTGTTGTTGTTTTGAAACTAGGGGAGGGTGGGTGGAGGGTGTTAGAAAATTAGAAAAAGCCAAAGCTAATCACTTGGTAAATTACCTACCAGGCTGTTTAGGAAGCAGATAAACAAAATGTGGACAAACAGATGGATAAAACCAACAAAACATCTAGCCCACTGTTCATCACGTACAGGCACTGTCAGGATGCCGTAACACAGAAGCAGCTTGCACAAAGAAAACAAATTCTCATCATGAAAACAGATTTACTTCTAAATGACAAAATAATGTGTACAGGAGAGACTTAAGTAGAAACACTTAATTGCAAGGTTATCCAACTAGCTTATTCATTTACCAATGCAAAACACATGTAGAGAAGAGTAAAGAAAGTATGAGAACATTGGCAAACCTACTTGTGCAGACAAAAAACACATTACAGTAATAAATCAGTCTTAAATTCTAAGATACACTTTTTGAGACTAAAAAAAAAAAAAAGATACCCACGAGCTATTGCAGTTTCCTGCTTTATGCAGTGAAATTTGATTCTCTGACAGTTTGAAAAGCTATGAAGAACCTATACTCACAGAACGTGCACTAAAAAGCAAACAAACCCTCCATTTATACTTAACTGAAATGTAAATGCTGAGCATCTATCTAAAGACACAGATCAAGTCACAACATCTGATTTAGCACCTTTGAAACAGTTCTTGCTAGGTCTGGCTGAAAAAGCTACACTTCAGTTGGAAACACAGCTTTAGTGGCACTGGAAGACTCCATAGGTGCAGATCAGTTTTAACAGCTTTTGACAAAACAGCAATTTCTAAGTAGTCATTCACAAAATTTATTAATTCTAACAGCCCTAAAGAACAAAACTAAGATACAGAATACAAGAGAAAAAGGAATGCTCCTAGCCTATCCTTCTAAAATTCACTTCCCTTTCCATTAGGTTCCTCTCCTGAAGGATTTTTACAAGCTCCAGTTTTCAAACATGCCTGACTAATGGTTTAATGCAAAATAACTTTAAAGTGATCTATTAATAACTGGAAACATTTGCAACCCATCCCAGCCTCCCACTTACCTTGTCGATGTGGGGGTGCCAGTATTCATCATGCGTTGTCTTGGCTTCTGTGCTGTTAATTCTGGAGAAGAACGTTGGCTTAGTCAGGTACATGGCGGAAGAGCTGATTCCGAAAGTCTGAGCAATCTTTTCTTGAATTCTCCGTCTCACATCACTGCAAAGAACACAACACAGCACACTAAATGTTGAAACAGCATAGAGGCCCCATTTAAACAGTGATGCACCTCTCTCAATTCTTCTACATCCTCCTTCATTCAACTTTACTGCCTCCTCAGAGCTAAGCTTCCTCCTCAGAGAGTAAATCAAAGGAAACATATACCCATACTTCCCCCTCTTATGTTGCCTTAAACAACTGAGATCTACTATAGCAAAGAAAAAAAAAATCTGCTGCACTCTTTGTTGTTTTGTCCTCTTTTTATTATCGTCATTATTTTCAAAATCTTAAGAAAAAGGAACTATTTGATAGTTCCTTTTTGATAGTTCCGGTGGTCTAGATTTTAAAATTTCTTTGCGTAACCAGTGTGTTTTCCTGTGGAATTGTATCACGTTGTTTATTAACTAGTGAAAAATTAAAGAGATTAAGTTATTTTACGTACATATTTTTAATCCAAAGCAGATGACTGGAAATGTGTATGTTCATAAAGGGCTGCTTCTTGGGAAGAACCTTCAACTACTTTTAAGATAGCTTTAAACTAACAGATGAAGTCTCTCAGGCCCATGAATTCAGGGTTCTAGGCCAACATATGTATTGATATCATAACCAGATTTTGATTAAAAATACCAAGATGTTTTTCCCCAATTATTCTGAAGGTTTCAACCAAGGTATCTCTACCTTGGCTGTTCCTGTGGTTCTCTCAGGAAGCACAGGGAAAAGAACGTGTTTTTGTTTGGCTAGATTTTGTTGTTGGTGGTGGTGTTAAGATCATAAAAATAGAAGACTAATAATCACACATGCTTCACTGCATAGAACTGCTCATATAGCAGCATCCTATGTTGTCTTTCAGGACAGAAAAACTGCATACAGATCTAGAACAGGGCCATCAAACTGTGTCAGCTTTAGTTCAGTCAATGCTTTTAAAGACAAGAGATTTGCGACTCATCAGGAAGATCTCTGGCAAATCCCACCAGCAAACACACACAGCCAGTATTTAACTTGCAGGAAATTAAAACAACAACAACAAGAAAGCAATAACACAGTGAGATAAAATGAAAATGTTTTCTTTTAAAATCTAATCCTCTGTGTTCCATAAAGTCTTAATGGACTGTTTTCTCCCAATTTACCACATTCTTAGTTGTTGTCTTAGTCTTCCTTTTCTTCCTTCCCAAGCGCTTCAAAGGAAGCACACAAGAACAAGATACTCAGGATGAACACTCTTCTGAAGTTTTTATGGAATTACATTACTAGTTTTGTATCTTTTCTGTGTCAGACATCTCTCTACTGGGTTGTACTGAACTTCCACACAATTTACAAGAAACCATTTCCCAAGTATTCCTCTGGGGAATTCAAACAGTGACTAACAACAAGTGACAGAACTAAAAACCAGACCTACGTGTTGGACTGTGAAAGGCACCTCTTGAAGACAAGGATCAAAAAAAAAGGCTTAATTACTCATCCTGTTCACAGCTTGTCCCCACCAAAAAATAATCAATAACAGACATACAGTTTGGATTTTTAACCTGTCTTAAATTTAGACAAGTTAAAAAACTTATAGCTTTCAGGTGTCAATTCAAACTATTTCAGTTGTGAATTATGAAAACCAGCAAATTCAGAGATGAGATTTTCAGGTATTTACACAGATGCAGAAACTGAGGTTTCAAGTTGAGAGCTACAGAATGGCAGTGTTGTAAAAGTGACATCAGGAAAGGATCTGTGGGTCCCCAGTCCTTCCTCTCATGCCTGTGGGTATCTGATCTTTCTGTCTTCCTTCCAAGAAGTAGGACTTCAACAGAGGCTGCCTTATGTTTCCCAAAAAGCGTCAGACATAGCTACTCATTTCACTTCACCATGAATTGGAGGAATCAGGCACTTTGAACAGCCCAACGGAAGAATTCATAGCCTAACCCGCAAATACTAAAGTAGTCTGTTCCTCGGCTCTGACACCGGGTGGCCAGGAGCATCAGCCAGCTGGAATATATCTGCAAGTAGCTGTGCCACAGTCCTGACACGACTTTAAATCTCCAGCATTTGTACTGCTCATTAAGCAATACCGCTTCCTCTTTTAGGTTGATTCCTTTCCCACTTTCAAACACTTTCTATTAAGATTTGCTGCCTGGTGTTTATAAGGCTCCGCTGAAGCCGCACTTCTCTTTGAGATGTGCAACAGCTTCAGGCAAGACTGGATGTTTTGCAAAACCAAGCAGGAAACAAAACTCTCCTCAACACAACATTTTTGTCTCCTGACACACAAAAACAACCACCAAAAGCCTAGCTGGTTTGGACCGGCCAGTGGGTTATCAGAAGAAGAGGAAAACAAGCTCAAAGTTGAAGCACGCCGCAAAGAGAAAGTTAGCACATGCTTCAAAAACAACTTGTTTCCTGTTTATAAATTAAGTAGGCAGGGGAAATGGGGAGACAAGTAATGAAGGAGTTGAGGTGACAGGTTTAACAGCATAGATTTAGCTTTTATCCTGGTCTCGTGAAAGCACCTGCCTTCAGTTGACCTAGCAATAACCATGTAGCTGGTCTCTGGGTGTGGAAGCACACTGCTGGCCTCTTATTCCCATGTGCTATTGGCTTCAAGTATTGAATAAACTGCAGATTTCCACTGATACTTGAACAAATAACCCTTATTGCATAAAATTACTGGAAATAAGCTCCAAACAGCAATACCTTTGAGTATCTAAATGCTTTTTCCTGCTGAGTATATACCATACTCCTCAAAATACAGCAAAACTCCAGGAAATTCCTAGTTGAGCCAGCTCACGGATGTTATTTCTACATGTAGGATATTTAATACTCACTTTCTAATAATGTGGGATGAGACAAAAAAAAAAGTATACAGATCCTATGAGCTAAAAAGGAAAAATGAAAAGATGCAAAGGAAGACTTTCTCATTGCCTGTGAATAGCCAGCAGAAGTTCTTCCTTTGTCAAATATAAGTAGCTGCAATTCAAATTAAGTTTTTAAAAGCTACATAACGAACTTAATACTTAATGGGGGGGGGGGGGTTAAGGTGCAGAAGAGTGATCTGACTGGGAAACGCTGCATCATGCTATTGCAATTAATGACAAGGAGATCTGAGCTTCTAGTTAAAGTAAAATATGTTAAAAAAAAACATCCTTTTACAAGTTAAGTGCCAAAGGCAAAGCTAACTGTGCTGTGCAACATATGCTTTGCAGGGTGCTTTGTGACAGCTTTGCTTGCCCTTCATTTCACACAGTCACATTCACCCCACCGCACGAGTCCTCAACAGGTTGACAGACTTATCATTGCAAACACAAACTCCATAAGGTATCTCGTGTGTCCTTCACGGAATGAAATGGGAATCAAATGTTTACTTTGCTGTATTAGCAAAGGCACGTCTTTTTTAGAGGTCAAAATTTTCCCTAAACTACTACAGAGCATGTATCTAAACACATGCATCTATGTACTTCAACTCATTCTGTGCCCAGTTTATTCCAAATCCTGCATATAGTTGTTTTACAAAAGTGGTAATAATGTCACTCTTCTTAGCCTATAACTCTTCTCTACAGCTTAGGCAAATCAGGCCAAGGAAATTTCAGTCAAGAAAGCACTATCGAGGAAGCAATGAATGAGCCCAGTGCAGTAAACATGTAAATTCATTTTCATAAACACTGTGGCTGTTCTACCATTCATGCTGCTTTGGGTCTAACCTGGTTCTGATTGGATGCACTAACCAGCTCTGCTATGGTGATAAGTATGTGAGTACCGAATCCAGTCAGTGTAAGTAAGAAAAAAAATTGACTCCTCGCAACACTTGTCAGCAGCAATCGAACATTTTCATCGAGTCACTGGAGATTATCAAAATGCACAGCCAGGCTTGGGGAAAAGCAGAACACCACTCACTAAAAACAACATAATCACCTTGTATAAAAGTGGTGTACGAAAACTATTTTGCAATCAGAGCAATCAGGAAGAACAGAAAAGATTAGTCAATAAAGCACTTAGAAGTCTAGGACACACAGAACCTAAGGGAAAGGATGTTCACTAGACTGCAGAGTTGCCAGGTTAAAATACCAGCAGCCACATAAGCAAGGACTGAGAAGAACTAGAAGTGTCACATGAAAATTTCTGTAAAATACAATCTCTGTCAGGCCAGCAAAAAGAAAGCACTGTGAGAGTCACCAGTGGAAAACAAGATTTCAAGCACAGAGACAGGAACACTCACAAAGCTCTGTGAAACCACACAGCTTCCCTAGCCCACTGTCGATGTCTATGCACTGTTCCCAGTGAAAAGCACCAAAGGCAGCAGAAGCAGGCAATGCAATGCTCTTCTATATCCAGAAAGCTCCAGCAGAAGTCAGATGTGCAAAATAAATAAAGGAAGAAAGTCAACTATTAGTTCCCCTTCTGCTCATTCCGTATCTGTGCCTTAATAAGTTATAAAGTTTTTGGAATAAATCTTTGATGATGCTATTTTCTGCTGAAGTCACAACCTTTAAAACAAGCACACAGATTTAGAGGTCTCTCTTCTGAATAAAGATGCATCTATTATGTGAAACAAGAGGAATTGCTGTAATATGCTTGTCAGGTGGAGGATAAAGCATCAGCCTAGAAAGCATAATTGATTCTGAAGCAACATAATTCTGACACAGACAGTTTAGAAACCAGCCTCCTGGCTAAGAATGCCTACTCAGATTTGTTATTGTTGCAATCAGTAATACTCAGACATGAATTACATCTAGTTATCTCTCTCAAGAGTGTATTTTTAAACAGACCTTGGTAGGTAAATAAAAGTAATGAAGATAAACGTTCCCAAGAATAGCATAAAATCATTCATGAAAGACATAAGGCACTACAGTCTGTGTTAAAGCACTGCCATTAATATGAAGAAAAGCATTTAATATACGTAGTATGGGATTCATATCCAGCAGCCTGAAACATCCCCTACATTGGCATGCAAAACCAATGGAATATTGATGTTCCCCAGCAGTGTTCTCACCCCACAATATAAGGGTCAGAAACATTCGATGCTTCCATAACTCATATGAATTTCTGTTCATGTGAAATACATAAATAATCTGCAGTAAGACACCACCTCCCCATACACTTGTATTATTTCTGCAGATTCCTTGATCTTCTGTAGAACAGTAGGCAGCACAAAGACTATTATTTTCACATTACTCCCCACTAGCTTGGTGAGGCAGAGACTATTTTTCTTTACGCATTTGAAGTTCAGTAATAATCAGTGTCACATTTTTGTGATGAGTTGTGGGACAGAAGTAAACACATTTGAACAATGGTCATCCCTAAACATAACGGTATTGAAAAATGTTTAGGCTAAGTAATAAACTCTAATTGGTTAATATTTTAGACAAAATTACTATAACTAATAAAATGAATAAGATATGCTGGGTGTATGGAATATACGTGTACCTATCCATTAATGCATTTAGCTACTTGATACTACTTCCACCACTAGAGGGAGGTCAGATTCCTTCACAAATGCAAGAAAAAAGGACAAAAAGAGCAAAAAGCTTTAACTTTAGACTTTAAGATACTCAAGCCAGGTACATTTTAAATTATGAGATAGCAACTGAAATGCTTAACTAAAGATTTATTGTGTCTAGTCAACAAAGAATGCTTGATCCTAAACTTTGGCAACACACCTTCAGACACATGGAGCTCGTTCTGTTTGTTGTCTTCGTTAAGTATATGAGCAGGTCTACAGAAAGCTAAAAGCATCAGATGCCAAAGCTATTACATTATAGCAATAATTCATATTCTGGCTTCATAGGGGGAAAGTACGCTCCACTTTTCAAGCCAGAACATTAGTAATTTGAAGTCCTTCCACTTCCTGCTTTAGCATTTTTAATGTTTTGCTACACTTTGCCCCCCAAAAAACAAGTTCCTGAAGTGATAATAGTATGGGACTGTCTTCATCATCTAATGCAACACCTCTTGGATAACAGATGTGAAATACCAGTTAAAGTATTTCATATCTCAGCTGACACGTTCCAGCAAATAACCAAAACTCAGAAAAGCATCTCTGTTTGCTTACAGGTCTGCAGGACTGGCAAATGCTAAAACTGGGCATCAACCATCAACCCCTTAGGCTGCAAGTGAAACATGGGGCGAGGCCTCATCGGAGTCCACTTACACCGTCAATATTAGTCTGACATTGGTGATGGAGCTAAAATAACACCAGCTGCTTTAAATTTAAGACATCGTAATTCTCAGAGATTACTACTTAGAGCTGCAAGTTCAATTGCAACTCTGAATCCATCACATAGGACAAGCCCATTACAGCTTACGCTCTACAAAAAAGCAAGTTGTGTTTTGTAGTTCATCCTACAGTTATTCAAATTTTTTACCGATACAATGCAAAATCCTCTTCTGTGAAGATGTCTTGAATTTTGTCCCCAAAGTACCTGAAAAATGAATCAACATTCTAAAATGGGCATTGCTGAATCACACTGCCCGAGTCATACCAAGCTGTATTCTCTCCCCATCTGTGCTTTAACCACAACCCACGTATTAAAACCCAGCTCAAAAATCCTACAAATGTTTGAGTGTGAAATTCCCAAAGCATTGCTCAAAGATCAAGTATTAAAAGATAAGGGATCAATATACAGCAACTGATAACAGAACTCCCCAGGCATGAAAAATGTCCCATCACACATCACGAATAAGCACATGGATTCAGATTTTTTAAAGCAAGTATAGATATTTGACTTCTTCCACTGCTGACAATCTATTGACTGTAACTGTAAAGGTAGGGGGGGAATATCCACCAAACATATTATTTGCTGGTGCAAGAACTCTAAAAATAAAGGTAATAGTAGCTTTCAAAGAGCCCAGTTCAACATAAGGTATTATTTCCAGTTTTCATGCCACAAAAGCTTTTCAACTAGCCATGGAAACTGTGATGAACCTAACCAATTCTACAGTTGGTCATTCCAAACCCCAGTCCACAAGGCTTGAGAAATCTGAAAAGGCTCAGAGTACTGAAGTTGTAGGGTAACAATGGCAGCAAGTCACAGCCCAACTTTACCTGTACAGATTAACAAAATGCTTCCCCATTGAAAGAGCTCCGGAATGCAAGTCCAAAATTGATGCCTGGGAAAGGAAACAAAAGTTAAAGAAGAGGAAGAAGCGCAAGAAGGGCTTATCATTATTTATCACTAACCTTCAAGAAACATCCCAAGTTGGCTCTCATTCTCCATATACTCCCGAGCAAAACTATTAGTTTCTAGCTTTCAGGTCCAAAATATTAATGCTTACTTTACAACTGCAAGCCTCCCTCTGTTTGTTCTACAAATTAACAAAAGATTAAGGTACCATATGGCTAACGCACAGGACTACTATTGCTGACATTCAAATCCAACATACAGAACTGCCAGTCTTCCAGGGACTAAGGGTAAGACATCTTGTTCCTGGATCCCTTCTTGAAGACATTTCCCTTCCACACAAAGATGACTAATTTTCCAATATTTGTGAAGTGCTCAAATAACAGCACTAATACTTAACTCGCCCAGCATTTGTTAGTAAAACTTCACCATGAGTTCCTGTATACCTCTCATATTTAATACAGATACAAATGTCTGCATAAAAGAACAACTACAGTTCTAAGGCTTGCAGAGACATTTTTTTTTCCCAGTTTCTAAACTGCTGTAAAATAAAACCAGGGAGTGAAAGGTTTTCATATATGAAAAAATCAATTTGTCCACTTGTGGTGTAAATGCCTGAAGTAACTAGGAAAATAAAACTAACATTCACACTTTTAAGGAAAAGGTACAGCATTGAAGAGGCTTTCAGGGTAGGACATAACTGCATCATCTGAGCGTTCGCTAGGCTCCCAACCTTAGATGCTATCGCGCTGGGGAAACTTGGTGTGCTAGCTCTAAGGAACACCACGGAGCGTAGAGTGGAGTGGAGACACCACGGCTAGGCTCTGTAATCAGGTGGGGCCTCGATTGTTCTTGTGCACAAAGCTGCACTTTTTGCCACCCTAAGCCAAAGACCTGTCATGTTTTGACAAATGCTGTACCCTAGTGTTCTTTTTGCTCATTATAATATCATTATAATACCAAAACACACCTCCATCCCAAAAGCTACCCGCCTCCAAGGTGCGACCACCCCTCACTGAGCATGCGCCCTGAATTTCTCGGAGCCTATTACTTTAAACGGAGACGGGAAAACTTTACACCAATCATAACTAAGATATGCTTGACTAGAGCCACTCAAGCTCCACCTAAACGATAGAAAATAATATAAATTGGCCCAAGAGAGAGGGGATGTTAGGGAAGATACCATTGTCAGGGGAGATACCATCCCAAGGACATACAACATCCTTAGGACCTCCTGACTCCTGGGATCATCGACGGGCTGAGCCTCTCTTCCCCCCCCATTGGGACACCTTTGGGTGAGATCTGAATATTTGCTTATAAATCTCTATAGAGTCTTTGATCCTTTTAACGCGTTTATTTCTAGGCTGCGCACCTAGAACACCTGTAACACCTAGAACACCTGTAACACCTAGAACACCTGTAACACCTAGAACACCTAGAACACCTAGAACACCTAGAACACCTAGAACACCTAGAACACCTAGACACCTAGACTAGAACACCTAGAACACCTAGAACACCTAGAACACCTAGAACCCACACCTAGAACCCACACCTAGAACCCACACCTAGAACCCACACCTAGAACCCACACCTAGAACCCACACCTAGAACCCACACCTAGAACCCACACCTAGAACCCACACCTAGAACCCACACCTAGAACCCACACCTAGAACCCACACCTAGAACCCACACCTAGAACCCACACCTAGAACCCACACCTAGAACCCACACCTAGAACCCACACCTAGAACCCACACCTAGAACCCACACCTAGAACCCACACCTAGAACCCACACCTAGAACCCACACCTAGAACCCACACCTAGAACCCACACCTAGAACCCACACCTAGAACCCACACCTAGAACCCACACCTAGAACCCACACCTAGAACCCACACCTAGAACCCACACCTAGAACCCACACCTAGAACCCACACCTAGAACCCACACCTAGAACCCACACCTAGAACCCACACCTAGAACCCACACCTAGAACCCCACCTAGAACCCACACCTAGAACCCCTGTAACACCTGTGTATTTCATGCATACTAGCTTGCTTTTGCAGATAGTCACTATCACCGGCAATCCAAAAGAACCTGATTATCTGTTGCTGTAATAAACCATACTTGATTGCATTGTGATAGCTCTCATTAATGCAACTAGGGTGAGGGTGGTTATCCGTGATAGTTCAGTGTTCTGAATCTAACCAGACCCCCAGACGGTTAATGCATTGTTGGTGAATGTCTGAGCGGACCCCCAGGCGGTTATTACGTTTTTGGTGAATGTCTGAGCGGACCCCCAGGTGGTTATTACGTTTTTGGTGAATGTCCGAACGGACCCCCAGTTTTGGTGAATGTCCGACTGGTTCAGTACTCTGAATCCAACCGGGCCCGTAACGGTTAATCAGCTACACCCCTTTAACACGACACCACTTGATTCAAGCCAAATGCTTCTGTTGAGCTCCAGACCAAGCTAAAAGATGAGTATTCAGATTTGCTATGATAGAGAGCTACATCTCAAGACCCTAAAATATCTCCCTGAATTGAATGAAGTACATGTTTATATGTATTTTGTGGGCAGGAAAGGACATATTTATTGCCTAATTTCCCATCAGTTAAACAGTATTTAAAAGTATACCTTCTTAATAGCAGCCTTATTTTCTACACTGAAAATAGCAAGTAGCAACAGTTAATTAACCTGACTGGCACTAAAATTAGAATGACCTCTTTGATGTACAATATCCTGGAAAAAGCACTCTCATCTTGGGATCTGGCATCTCTTGATGCACCACATACCATTCACATTATTTTAACAAAATCAAAATAATAATAGTATGATTAGGTGAGCTGCTTGGAAAGAACGGTAACCTCCATCTTACCAGTAAGAAGGATTTCTGGGCATGGCTGACACAATACTTGGTTTGATTTGAAGCCACTTCATATTTTGACCCAAAAGCAGACAGGCTGGTGAACAAGCAGCCCAAATCATCAGTGCACTTACATGTCAGTGCTGCAGTGCATTCACCCCTGCCCTCAAAGCCCTGTTCTCTCTCCTCGTCTGGATCGTGTTTGGAAAAAAACAACCAAGACAATCTGAGCAAAAGAAAACCGCTGTATGCTCAACTGCTTTGAGCTTCTAAACTGAAATAGCAGAACTCCACAAAAGTCTCCATTTAAAAGAGATATTGACGGCCTTCTTTTAATGTATGCACCCAAATCACTTCACCTTCCCTTTAACGTTTAAAAATATGTACAGTAGCAAGCTATTTAAATGGACACAGCATGAGCTTTTCAGACCTCCCATTCTCACTGAAGTTCTCCAAAGGCTGCAGAAGACTGTTACAGAAACAGGTCATCTTACACTCGTTCAAGAGCAGCTCTTGTAATAAGCTTTACTAGAGCTTCAGAAGTAAAACATGTTCGTTCTCAGTTCCTCAAGCTGCAGATGATCACGGTGATGTGGTAGAATCCAAAATGGCCAAGTGGATCAATACAGAACTCCCACAAGAAATGACGATATTCACAGCTGAAAATGTAATAGCTGCAGTACAAAGCCAGATGAAGACTGAAAATGAAGTCTCAAGATGATCGAATATTCCTCGGGGTCCTTTCAGACAGGGGAAAACATCTGAACGCTAAATGTAGATGGGGAGTTGATTACATGTGAGCACAGAGCTATTTGTTTAACAACTGCCTTGGAAAGAAACTGAAATGCATTTATTTTAGCCTCTGCCATTTCAGCACATTAAATATTTTCAGCACCATTTTCCACACTCAGAAGAATACCTTGGTGGAAGCTTCTGTCAACACCATTACTTCAAGTTCAGCTGCCTGATAAGGGTTCATCAGTCATCAGTAGCTCAGGTCACTGCTCCCCAGTTGAAAGCTCTACAAAGTTTATCTGAAGACAGCAAAACAATGCAAACACACATATTCACACACCTATTTCTGAGATGGTTACAGAGCTCCTACAGAAAGGAGAATGAACTTCCTTTAAAAAAAAAACACTACAACATATGTTCCTTTGGACCTTAAGTATCGTTAGTCTCATATTCTCCACCCTCTTACTGTAAAACAGATCCAGCAAGGATATGGAAATAGCCACCATTTCTCAGCATATAGCAAAAAGGATCAATTTCCCTGTCTTGAGGAGCACGAAAGGCCCTTTCTTTGATCCTCACTGAAACAGACTGCCAACTACACTTGCACTGCTGCAGTGATTCCACTTCTACCTTTACCCCTTAAAAAGCTTTAGGTGAGACTCCGGAAGAAAACAGCAAAAAAAAGTGCCCAAAAGAGAATTTTGCATAACTTGCTTCCACTTGCCTGCAAAGAAGCCTGTAGAGCTCAAACCTTTCCCCACTCCTCCTGTGGGAACGCTCACCTACACGAGCTGAGAAGAGGGAAGAGCAATGAAGGCTGTCCATGGTCACCCATCCTGGGCAGCAGCAAACCTGTGGTTCCTGTGCGTAGCCATGCACAGGCTCTCAGAAACAGCAACACCTTTAAATATCCTTCTCTACTCGAACCAGAGTAGAGGGACAAGAGTTACATCCTTCAGGTAATGCCTCTTAAGAGAGAGGCTGATTAATTATGAGACAAATGCAACCAAACATCATACAAAGTGCTGGAGGCACAGCTTATTACTGGGAAACTAAATCAATATTTGGCCGTGACATCTTACACTCCTCCCCAGCTTCCTACAGCAAGGTCCAGACAATCCCAGCAAGACAATAAAAGAAACAAAGGGAAGTGAAAGATGCACTGCAACACACTGGCTACCCCTATCAGGAGGCGAGGCAAAAAGGAAGGAGACTCTGGGGTTTCAGCAGAGGTGTGTGGAAGGATAAATACCATGCAGAGGCTTTACCTTCTCCCTGGAAAATTCAGAAGGGACAGCATTTTGAGGACTTTAGTTTGGCTGGGAGAGTTGAAAGCAGAACAAGGAGCAATATTACCTGTAGAAACACCATTCTGTGCATGGGCCCACATCAGACACCCTTGTCTGACATCACAGTTACATATGTTGTTCACTTCCTTCAGTCATTAAGAAATGTAATTTTCCCTGCAAAAAGGAATTTCAGGTAGCTACCTCTGCCAATTTTGCAGCAACACAGGAAGCAGAGGGCTGCAGCTGACTGGCTGCACCAAGGTGCTTTGTTTTTTCTTTTCCCCTCCATCAGGCTTTATCTAAATGCCAATAGCTTTGATAGTAAATGAGTCGAGTTTATTTGCACTGGAGAGGCATTATGACGGCAGCACTCACAAAGATGTGAATGAATGAGTCATGACTAAGTTGGCAACGCAAGCAGGGACTGCATGCAAGAAAATACTAGGTTGGGAAAAAAAGGAAAGGTCATTATCTTTATAAAGAGGGGAAAAAAGTAAGTTGAGAAACAGCAAGAGAATGAGTACAAATGACTTTCTGTGAAAGAGAGAATGCGGTGAAAAAGCTATTTTATAGCTACAGATACCTATGTGGGGGAGAGGTACAGCACTGGAGAAGGTGCCCGTTTGTATTTTGTTGGAAGTTGGATTACAAGCATGTCTTCTAGCCTCAGCGTGTGCATTAGCACACAAGTGTGCATGCGTGTGTCTGCACACACACTAATCTAGGAGCAATTATAAAGGAATATAGGAAAGAAAGCTCAGCATGACAACTGGGGCATGACTGCTGGGAGACTTCAATGGTTCAGATGTTGGCCAGGACTTCCTCAACACAAAAGGACAGAGAAGGAAACCAGGGTTTGCACTACATTTCAGTCCTCCAAGGGAGCTGAAAGAGTAGAAAACAAAGGGAGTGAACTGACAGATTTGCAAGCTGCAAAATTAGCTCTTTAAGTTATTACATTAGACACATGCTTCTGTGAATTCAAAACACAAGTAGGACAGACCAAAATGCTGCTTTAAAAGGCATTAGGAGGAAATCGGGGAGAATTAAAATGTGGTCTATACCCCAGTAGAAATCTGAAGACGTTCCACTTGGAATAGTGTAGAGAGCAAGTTAGCTAAAGAAAGAATTAAGAAGAATTAAGGAGCAGATATGAGAAATTATTTAAGGAAGTTCTAAGAAAAAAATAGTCTTAGAACAGCAGACATAATTGGACAGAATTATCCAAACACTACAAAGTCTAAGAACCTTAAAGCAACAAGCTAAATCTAATCCAACAGAACTGAAGCTTAGGAGGCAAAGGGGTAAAGTTGCTGGATGAAGTTAAGACTTGAAACACTTTGTATGCTATGTAGATGACAGATATGAAAATAAAATAAAAGGCTTAAGCAAAGAAAGAAAATTCATCTACACATCATCAGCACACATCAATCATTATTTAATGAGATCTGGGAACTAAGACTGCACTACCAGCAGATTCATTCCATGACATGGGGAATACAAGAACACAGATTGAGTAAGAAAGAGAAAAATGCAGAACTGGGAATGAAAGAAAAAAAATATATATGATAAATTAGACAAAGAGTCCATATTTAAAAGGTTGTCCTAAACATGCCCCAAGAAATACTGTTCAGCCCCCGTTTTCAGCATCTTTGAGATGTCTGTCCACAATTTTGGATGAGCCTTCAATGCAATACTACACAACTCTTCTTGCAGCTTTCCCTAAGGAGTAGCAGCACGCAGTAACTTTCTCACATTCCCACATTACAAGAAACGTGAAAAGATTTGGATCACAGCCCAGATTTCTCTGAGACCAACAGCAGTTTACTACAAGAATCTTTTTCCCCTGGTTTCCCTCTCCTTTAAAAAAATACAAAATTATGCTTCCAGAGTGATGTGATGACAGCTGTATATTTGGCTGAGATTCCAGCTTATTGTCCAAGTAACCCAGCTCAGGACCCCATGCCCAGCTCTGAGCACTGGGCAGCCGCTCACCTCCCTTCAAGTCTCTTCCAGGAGGTCTCTGGACATTTCCCCAATTTGCTGGCCCCAGCTCTCAGTGGTCCAAGTCCTTGAACCTGTCCCTGTGTTTCACACTGCCCTTCTTAATTCCTCTTTGTGGAAGTCTAACGACAATCACATGCAGGTCCCAAAAGAACAAGACAGGAAACAGTCTTGACAGCACTAATGACAGGAGCTAAGCAGGAGGTCCCAACGGGCTGAGTAACCCAGGCAGAATGGCAAACTGTGCAACCACAGAACTGAAAAAATATCCAAGAGACACTGTCTGAATTGAACAGGGAACGTTAAATATTGTAAAGATATTGTTTCAGATGGGCAACACCACCAAAGTTGCTTAGTTGTGTTTTTTTTTCAGATCTTTTTAAGCAGTCACAAAGACATTAAAGTGTCTTTTTTCCACCCCCATCTTTATCCTTTTCTTGTACTAAATGCCCTAATTCAGCAGAGGCCTTAGTAAGTGTTCATGTTTACAAATACAAAACAGTTTCTGTTTATACACAAAAACAACCTGAGAACAAAGGGGGAGAAAAAATTAAGAGAAATATGCCTGTGAAAGAGAAATAGTTGTTTTCACTTCTAAAGAATGTAATTCAAAACTCTGCTTAAGATGTTACATGAGGCCTTTTGTCATTACATGAAACCCATCTTTACATGATAGCCATGGACCACTTTGATTTGGTTTCTCAAAAAAAAAAAAAAAATCAAACTTGTGCAGTTCAGCTATAGCAACTGGTTCCAGATGCACCCAACAAAACCAGTTCAAGAGAGGACCTAGAAATATTAACTGAATAATAGGAAATGTGTGAACAGTACTGAAAAAGTCATGACTTATAGTGTTAGCAGAAGCATTAATAGGATAGAAAATTAATTTCCAAACAATTTTCCTATATCTAAGTGGAAGGAAAAATTCTGTATTATCGCCTCTAGCTCCCAAAATGCATTTATAATCTCAAAGATCACCTTGGAAGTAAGAGAATGTAAAAAGTAACAGGACACTGCTCACCCCTCCATCAGATCCTCCGAAGGACAGTCCTCTCTCTGCTATTCTGCAGGCAAAACAATAACCTCAGATGAGAACTGAAATCTGATCACTTTGTCCTGTAATATCTTTATTTACAGCATACAACTTCCCAGTAAGGGTTATTTAATGCATCAGATATAACCCAACTGAGTTGAAAATAGAAGCTGCCATTTATCTGAAATTCTGAATCACGCAACCTGACATGAAAACAGAGTATCTGCACTGTGGAACATTTCTGAACCTGTAGCCCCTTCCATAAACACCCACAACACCACTGACTTTCAAGTACATTCTGGGCAACGTAAACAAAAGAAACAAAAACACCACAGAACTTGATCCCTCAGGGCAGTACAAATAAACCTACATAATGCAAAGATACTTTATCAAAAACAAGAGTCCAGCCAGAGTTTGAAGTCAAAGGGCCAGCCCAGAGAACAGCTCTATGCCAGCTGCGTATCAGCTGAAGCACTGAGAGTGTTAGAGTGAAATTCCACTTACATAATCACCAAGTGCAAACCACACTCAAGGAGGCTGATAACTTCTAACTGAAGAATTTGACAGTGCCCCCTACTCTTTGATTAAAATTCACCACTTTGTGCTCATAGAGGGTCAGCACCAGCACATTACCCATAAAGCGACTCAGCTGAACAGAGATTTATGTTGTTCATTCCATTTTTAAAGGCCAATTGGAACAGAAGGCTAAGTAGAAATTGTTCAAAAAATGTGAGATTCAGAGAACACCATTTAGTTTTATTCTCTACAACCCACATGCCCCACAGAGCTAGGCAGACTCTGTGTGAAAGAGAACAGCCTCCACTACAGCAGAAGAGGAAAATGGCTTTAAAATAGAAGTTTAATGCTTTAACCAGTTAAAACCATCTCCTTCAGCTAACGAGCTTTGTGCTACACCTGAAATACTGGCACACCGTCAGCATGGCCCTGCTTCTTCTGCACATTACAATTCAAAAACTAAAAGAAAAATTACCTACGGATTCTTTCAGCTTCCTCCCTTGTTATTACTGCATCGGTTACACCTCTTCCACATTTCCTGGGAGTGCACCCTGCAACACAAAGAGAAGAAAGAAAATTATCATCTTTCCAATAAAATCACTTAAAATCCCTTGCTGAGAAATCTAACCTTTGATATTAAAAGCTCGTGGAAAAAGGCCAACAGCAAGAATTACGGGTGAAGAATACACAATGAATACACTACGTAACTATGCTCTCAGTCAAACGGTCTGAATTTTTGGGTAGACCTGTGTGAAGCCAGGAGTTGGACTTGATGATCCTTGGGGGTCCCTCCAACTCGGGGTATTCTATGATTCTTTGTAACTTCTTATAAAACTAGAAGTCTGGTCCACCAGCCTTCAGGCAAGAAGGATTGGTAAGATCAGTTCTGAGCCACTGCAGACCTTGGGATGCTGCATTTGACACTTTTCTGGGGAAGATCCATTTATAGATATAAAGTTGCAGAAAAGTTTGAAGGAATGCATTTGCTGACATCTGCCAACACACTTTACTGCTGCTGAACTGAACTCCTCTTCAAAGTTTATTTTATCATCAAAACAAAGGAGAGAGGCTTAAGCACTACTGAGAGAGGGAAAAAATCACCTGTACGAGTCAAAAGCATCAGTCTGCTCTGATCGAAAGCCACTAATGATAACAATGACCATGGAGTGATAGAATGAAATCTAGCCACAGCACAAGATATTTACGGGAATGCACACCCTGCCTTATCGGACGTGTTCTGGCTGCCTTAAGCACACCACAAATCCCTCCAGTCACACCAGAGCTTCAGGAGGAGAGAGAAGCAGTGAGACGATGACATGTGGCTGAAATGGCTGAGTGCTGACAACAACATACCAAACTGTGGACATTTTTCCTTGCTCAGGAAAAGAAAAAACACTTGTTTAACTTGTGTTTAAATTGGAAGCACCCACAGCAGGCAGTGTTTGAACCCTGAGGCACCCAAAGCACATCCCTCCTTTCCCCTGGGTGCACACATATAGCCTGCTCTGCTCTGGCTCCCCATCCATCATTGCCAGACCCCAGTTGGTCCCAAATCCAGATTCCCCTCCTGGGCCTGTCACCATGAGGGCAGGCAGCCAACACTGGGTCCCTGAACACTCCTAAAAGAGATTTTTCCTCCTAAGCCACTGGAGTAAAAACGCAGCAGCAGATGAAGGTCAGGAAACCAGGGGGATTACAACCCAGACAAGTCATTGCGCTTTCTGACTACCGGCAACAATTCCCTGAGGTGAGCTCAAGCAAGAATCAAATTCCAGGGAGCACATACTAAATTATCGGAAGACAACCTAGCAAACATGCAATCTGAAATAATGCTGGAGATTGTGCTGCCAACCATCCATACCACAACAGCAGCACAGAACCCAGCACTGTAGAGAGGCTGAACCAGAACCACTGCTCCCCACATCACTTCTCTCCTCTTGACCCTGTGAGCAAAAGGATAAAAAAGCAGAATCAAAGCATGCTGTTCTGCAGAAACAGTAGTGTTTTGCATGTCAGCCAACAGCACTTCGCAATGCAGTACCAGCACCAAAGGCACAGTTCAACAGACAAAAACCCACCAGGGCTTTACAGGGGGAAAAGTTGCTCTAAGTTTTAAGTTCGGAAGCCTCTACGCCTATTTCAGGCACACTTCATCCCCTCTGCAACCAAAAAGGCTAGACAAGTTTTGGGGAAATTCTAGTGTTTACTCATCTTGTAATTCCAAAAACTGAACACAACCATATCTCAGGCAGCCAAGGTTTGGCTGCAGGGTTCAGAACACAGATGAGACTGTTCACAGAACACCCTATCTTCTGCAAACACAATCAGTGAAGTGCTCAGCCACTGACAAATAACAGATTTTATATTCCTGTGAAGCATGTTTACTGCTGAGCTGTACCACGGACATAAGAACTCTGCTCTGCGGCACCAGTTCTGGTGTCTATTGAAGCAAACTCACAGCTCAGGCTGGTTCACTGTGGGGCAGGGACAGGTGCACAAATCATCTGAGCTGTGGAAACTTTACCGCGAGCAGCAGATGCTGAATGACGATGGCAACGTGCCTCCTTCCAACACAGAGCCAGCAGCTGCAGATTTCAAGCCAGAGTGAAGACAGAATTAAAAGCTTTCTATCTATCACTGAATAGATATTTCCAACGAAGTGACTGAAGCTCCGCAGACGAATCCAGTTTGGCAGAGAAGCATAAGGCGCATTTTATTCCTGAGTTATCAGCAGCCCCCGTGTGGAGCAGGGAGCAGCGAGGCTCGGCCGGCTCTTCACCACCGCCTGGTGGATGCTGAGCAAAAGGCAGGAGAAAAAACGGGAGAAGTTGAGCACAGCTTCAATTGGCTGCTAACACAACAGATGTTCGCACGTTTCTGATACCACTAACACAGCTCTCTTTCTGAAAGTACAATGCAGGGGAACACACGTAAAAACATCCGCTAGAAAACAAAATCAAACTCAAAATAAGCTAAAGAGAAACAAGCAAAGATCTACTTCGAAAGCCCAAATGCATTCAAAAATGACTCCCTGCCCCTAGAGCCTCCATCACGTTCCTGGATTTGATGCCAATTGTATCGGTCATTTGAGATCAAGCCAGACACTGCACCCTGAAGTTGGCATTTGCAGTCTGCTCCCCATCACACCACAGGAACAGAGAACACATCCATTCCTCCTCCTTGGCACAGGTATCCTTCAACTTTCTTCCTCATGCTGAAAAGAACTCAGAGGCTGCCAAGACCATGAGACTCCAGCTCAGAACACTGCTCTAGCAAATCAGAGAAGAGAAGAAATTATGTTTTGTGGGTTTGGGGCATTTATTTTGATAAGCCAAAGCCCTGGTAGCAGAACAAGAACAGTTTCAGCTTCAGTTCAGTTAGAAGTACCACATCTGCAGCAACACTACAGATTTCCCTGGCCTTGGGACTATGGAAATAAAGCCAGCAGGCACTTCTTGTAGTAACTGCAGAAAGTTAGAACACAACATATGTATTCCTGTTTTGAAAGCCAGAAAGTCCTCCTACTGAGGAAGCTCTCTTACTAGCAACTTCCTGACAGCCGTTTCCTTGGCCTCAAGAACATTTGAGATGAAATCTCCAAGATGGGATCAAAAGAGCACTGGAAAAGTCTTTCTGACCCCAGGCTCTGCATCATCTTCTGTTTTGTTATCAATCTTGTGACCAGCAGCTCCAGGACCAGCCACCTGCACAGTGCCAGGGCAGTTACCTCGGGGCAGCGCATCAAGGCTGCAGTTTGAACATTTCCTATCAGCATTGGCACCTGTAGAAGAACAGAAGAACAGGAAATTGTTCATCCTGTGCTCCAAGCAGCTTGCTCTAGCCTCCACGCTGCCTCCAGCTTTGTGCCAGCACACAATTTGTCAGCCACATGACGAACCAGATAAGGAAACAGGTTTGGCTACCAGCTAGCTCAGAAAAGATTATTTTTTTCTACATGGAATAGTTCACCAATCAAGTTCAACACACAGCTAGACTTACAAGTAGGCTGACAAAAAGCAAGGGTTGATCTGCCTTCTGCCAGCAGTGCCACTTCAGTGTTCATCCAGATACACTTACAAATCTGAAGAAGGGTATCAGTACAACTCTTTGGCTGCAGACGGAGTTAGAATCACTGCTTTTCATCATGGCAGATGAAAATCTTGTGTTTCTCTAGAAGATCCAGCATCAACATTCAAAAGAACCACATATCAAGGAGACAAATACCAGTTCAACAGAAAACAGACTCAGCTGGGAGACCCAAAGACGGAGGAGATGTGCTTTGCAGGCAGCATCACGCCTCTCAAGAATATCAAAAGTTGGCATTAGTGCTATCACCACACGCTAACAGCACAAGTATCCTAAATTAGTTCCACTTCATGCCCTGTACAACATTTACAAAGTCACCCACGAGTCTATTACAGGGATCAGCAGAGCACAGAAAGGTACTGGAAGCAGATGAGCAAAAAGTTGATTTCACGCAGGCCAAGCAAAGCAGCTTCAGGAGAGAATTATGTGGGGTTCTCAAGGGATCTCTCAGGCTGCCCCAAGTGAACATTTGGGGACTTAAATAAAGCATGCAATGACCAGGTGTTTGATAGAAGCAAAGTGACCTGGGTTTAAGAGGCTTAAACACCCAAATACCCTCAGGAAGACCCCAATACCCAACAGGTAGACCCCTCACACCTACAATACGTGACACTCATACCTGATACCTAACAGCTAGACCCCAATACCCGACAAATAGACCCCTCACACCCCAATATGTGACACAAACACCCCATACCTCACACCTACACCCTGGTTCCTTGCACCAACCCCCCAATACCCAACACCTACACCCCATACCTCATACTGGTGCCTCAATACCTGACACCTACAGCCCATACCTCACACCTACACTCCAATACCCAACACCTACACCCCAATGCCTCACAGTGACACCCCAATACCCAACATTGGCACCCCATATTTCACACCTACACTCCAATATCTCACACCGACACCCCAATACTCAAAACCTACACCTCGGGGTCCCTTGCACCAACACCCCAATACCTGACACGCACACTCTGTACCTTCTACCTACATCCCAAGACCCAACACCTAAACCCTATGCCTGACACCTACACCCCACTACCCGACATCGACACCCCAATACCCAACACTTACACCCTATATCTCACCCTGATACACCAACAACTGACACCTACACCCCAACACCTCATACCTACACCCTAATACCTAACGCTTACACCCAGTATCTCACACCGATACACCAATATCCAATGTCTACACCCCAATACCCGACACCTGCACCTCGTCCCTCACACCTACACCTCAGTACCTCACTACCGACGCCCCAGTACCTGCCACCTACACCCCAATACCTGGCACTTACACCCTATACCTCACGCCTCCACCCCGGGGTCCCTCACACCGACACCCCCGTACCTTCGAACCTCCTGCCGGCGCCGTAGTCCCCGGAGCAGGCCACCTCCACGAACCTGTCCCTCACCGCCTCGCTGCCGCGGGCCAGCACCTCCGCTCCTCCCTGCAGGCCGCCGGGCAGGCTCCAGCCCAGCAGCCCGCCGACGAGGACGGCAGAGCCGAGCAGGGCAGCCCCGGGGGCCGCTCCCCTCAGCGTCCAGCCCCGTCCCGGCGCCGTGCCGCCTGCCCGGGCCTTGCCGCCCGCCGGTCTCCGCCGCTCCGCCCCCCCCCGGCCCCGCTCGGCGCTGCGCCGCCATCGCGCGCCCCCCACCCCCTTAACCCCTTCCCCGAGCGATGCGCTCGGCGCCCCCCGCCCCGCCTGCCAGAGGAGAGCAGGCGGCTGCCGAGCGGCTCCCGCCTCACACGCCCAGAGCCGAAGCGATGGAAGCGGAGCCGCGCCTCAGGCAGGAGCAATCGAGAGCGGAGCGGTCATGGCGGCCGGCGGGCTGCGGCAGCGCCTGGTGCACCTGGACCTGAAGGGAGCCCCGCCGCGAGCCGCTTACCTGCGGCAGGTAAGGGGGGGGCGGCCCTAAAGCCCGAAATCCGGCCCTAAGCCGGCCCTAAAGTCCTAAATCTGGCCCTAAAGCCTGGCCCTAAAGCCCTAAACCCGACCCTAAAGCTCCGGCCCTAAGTCCTAAACCTGACCCCAAAGCCAGCCCTAAAGCCCTAAACTCAGACCCAAATCCTCAAGCCAGCCCTAAGCCCTAGAGCAGCTCTAAATCCTGGCCCTAAACCCAGCCCTAAAGCCGGTCCTAAACTTCTAAATTCAGCCCCAAGGGCGGCCCTAAAGCCCTAAACCTGTCCCTAAAGCCCTAAACCCATCTGTAAACCCTGGCGCTGAGTCTTAAAGCCATCCCTAAACCCCAGCCCAAAGCCCAAAAGCCCTAAACCCAACCCCAAAGCCGACCCTAAACCCCAGCCCTAAAGGCCTAAACCCTGGCCATAAAGCCCTAACCCCCCTGCCACAGGTGCTGCCGCTGCTCCGCACCCTGGGCGCCACGGGGCTGCTGCTGGAGTATGAGGACACCTTTCCCTACACGGGGCCGCTGGAGCCACTGCGGGCACCACACGCATACAGGTAGCACTGGGGGGGCCGGGGGACACTGCGGGACCAGCCCAGCTTGGTTCAGCTCGGCTTGATCCTCACCGTGCCCCCTGCCCCTTGTCCTGCAGCCGCCAGGAGCTCCAGGAGCTGCTGGGCCTCGCCAAGGAGCAGGGGCTGGAGGTGGTGCCGCTGGTGCAGAGCTTCGGGCACATGGAGGTGAGCGGGGCAGGCCCCGAGGGGGGCTTCAAGATTCCAAGCTGGGGCACAGCTGAGGGTTGTGGGGACCCCCAGAGCCAGCTGAAGCCGCCTTCACCTTGGTTTTCTGCCGCAGTTCGTGCTGAAGCACAAGGAGTTCGCCCATCTGCGCGAGGTGAGGATGTTTCCCAACGCTCTCAACCCGCACAAGGAGGAGTCGCGGGCGCTGGTCAAAGCCATGATCGATCACGTCATGGCGCTGCACAAAGACGTGAAGTGGTTCCACATAGGATGCGATGAGGTGGGACTTTTCTGGAGCCAGGAGGTTTTTATCACGGCAGCAAGGGTTGAGACTTCTTCGTTTCAGTGGTGCCCTGGCCATGTGCAGGTGGAGTTCTGGGGACAGGATGCACCAGCACGAGCCAGCGTAGAAAAGCTTTCAATGCTAAGCCATCCTGGGAGCTTAGGATGTCATTCCTATTGACCTGGCTGTAATTCCCAAAGGAGAATTACGTGGGTAAATAATGATAGGACAAGGGAGAATGGTCTTAAACAAGGATAGATTTAAACTAGACATCAAGAGGAAATTTTTCACTGTAGGGGTGGTGAGGCAGTGGAACAGGTTGCCTAGAGAAGCTGTGGATGCCCCATCCCTGGAGGTGTTTGAGGCAAGGCTGGATGGGGCCTTGGTCGACCTGATCTGGTGGCTGGCATCCCTGCTTACGGCAGGGGGTTGAAACTAGGTGATCTTTAAGGTCCCTTCCAACCCAAGCCATTCTATGATTTGTTCTACAAACTCAGAATTTGGTTTTACATCAAATGAGAATTCAAACTGAGGTATCAATTGGAAGTATTCATTAAGAGCCGTGAGTTGTGACATAGGATGTTGGCTCATTTTTCTGGCCAAGCTATTCGAAGTAAGCCTTTCTGGGGTGGGAAGTGGTTTTTGTTCTCTAGGCAGTTTGCTTCCTTGAAAGAGAACCCTGAGGTTTTTCTCCTTTCTCAGAGTTTCTTAAAGCTATCCCTATGGCATGCAGATCCCTGAAATTCATTGTGATCAACCTTAACTGTACTGACGCTGGCTTAGCATTTTGAATCCTGCTGTTTGGGAACTAATGGCAAGGTTAGATAGGGACATAGAAGTTTTCATAAAGCAAAATTGTACTTGCGCAGAATAAACAGGTTTTGGATGAAACCTGCTCTAAAATAATAGAACTTAAATGTGTATCCATCGTAATGGACCCAAATCCACTACATACATAGGAATAAGTATGCTGAAACCACTCTTGGACATGCTCCCAAATCAATTCTAGATTCATGTACAAATAATCTCCAGAACAGGAACCTCACTTTACTTATTTCAGGACCTTAGAGGTTGCTAAGTTTCTTGAACCAAGACTGGAGAGAGCTACTCCCAAGACAATCCATCCAAAACCAAATACAGCATGCTTTAATTCATATAGGAATTAAATAGGTATTGGAATTCATATATGAAGCTTCCCTTACGTGATGTATTTAGTCCAGACCAGGGTCTCCTGCAGACTGAATGTGTACAGCGTCTCCAACACTGAGATGTGCTTTGAAATATGTCCACTCAGCATGTTACAGCAGTGCGAGAGTTTTTGAGTATTGTGTGACTCAATGATACTTTGTCAAGCTTGCCCGCCTTCCTGTGCAGGAAGTCAGGATTATTTGTTTGATGTTTCAGGTCTACTACCTTGGTGAAGGAGAAGAGTCAAAACAGTGGCTGCAACAACAAGAGAACACACCAGAAAAGCTGTGCTTATCCCATATAAAAGCAGTTGCAAGTTGTATGGCCTTGTCTTACCCCACTGTGACTCCCATCGTGTGGGATGACATGCTCAGAGGGATAAGTGAGGAAACATTGGCAGGTGTGTGACCAGTGATGGGGTGAGTCATTTTGTAGCATTCAAAAAAGTCCACACAGTCAGTTGAAACAGACTTGCTGGTAGTTGAAAAATAATTTTAAAAAAATCTGAGAATAGCTGAGGTATGGCCCAATAAGCTAAGGAGAAGAGTCCTTGGCAATCACACAGACATGATCAAATCTCATTATGTATGCACGTTAGTTTTCTATATGGTAATACACAGGTAATTAACAAAAACAGTCATCATGCAGAGGTTGCCATAAATTCTGTTTTCTTTATCCACTCAAAAAAAGCTGGTCTCATCCTAAATGTCTATGCTTTTTACCACTTTCTAATGTTAGTTGTTGCTTTGTGCAGCAACTGCTGCTCATAGACCCGGTTCAGAAGGAGAGGCCATGACCCTGTGAGTGGCTTTGACAGTACATTAATGAGGAACTTAATGAGGAACTCCAATACTGAATTGTGGAATATCTCCACAGCCTCAATGTCAGGAACCTCCTTTGTTGAAAAATATGCAAATGCTGCTAAAAGTTGAGTAGTTCTAATGTAGATGGAGTTCCAGTATTTTCCACCTTACATGCATGCTCTGAACAGATTTAGACAGTACCATGAAGAGCCATACAGCTCCTCGAGCACTGATTGACCTACTCATGGCTTTCATGGTGGGAAGTCGTCCCAGAAAAAATCCATATACACCCCTGCAGTTTCCACAAGAGAAGCACAGCATCTAGCTACGTGTGCTCTACTGCCACAGGCACAGGCAATAGCAGTCTAAAACTAAAATGATATACAGTTAAAATACTGAATTTTTGCACAATTTTACTGTAGCTTCTCCAGGAGTCAGAGTTTCTCATTTAAAACTAGTCAGGCAGTTGATTATAAAAGGAAGCTAAATGTTTATCTTCATTTGGACTTTCAGGGCACCTTGAAAAGCTAAGTTCTCTGCAAACACAGCTTAAACAATCCCTAACTTAAAGGGTGAAAATTCAAACTCCCTTTGAATTCAGCCAAAATCTTGCATGCACAGTTTGCAGCTCTACCAGTTCAGCCCAGCAGGTATACTACTAGATTCAAGAGCCTGGGAACAAGATGGACTTGGGACGAATGGCATCGCCAATGAATTGTCACTGATGGTCCACATTAGTGGTTTCAAGATGTTGTAGGACTTGAGGACCCTGACACGTGAACTTGCATGCTGAAAGTCCTGGCCAGGCTGAAAATACACATGAACACTTGAACTGTACATGAAGAATTTCAGCGACAAGCCATTGTTTGTTTTAGTCATGCATTACCGCACCAATAATATGTATTTGGTTAATACCTTTAACAGGCCATTGTCTATTATTTAGAATAACCCTGTTCATTTCAGAGTCTGGAGTCCCACAGCTCGTGCAGCCTATGATCTGGGACTATGCAGCAGACCTGGATGTGGAGAGCAAAGGTTTGTACTTCTCTGCTGAGCTGCTTAGAAGAAGAGTTTCAAAAAGACTGATCAGTGCTAATCCTTGAAGGGAAGAAAATGCGTGCTGGTGGAGAAGGCGGTCGTCTTGTGTAGATACAGTCCAGAGATGTTTTCAAAAGAAAAAAAACAGCTTTGCAGCCATTATTATGTGAGAATTCTAGTGAACTACTTTAAGGCAGCAGACATTCCCCACTGAAAGAATAGGAGCTAATTTTTTGGACAAGTATACAAGACTTGCCCACATCTTGTCAAGTTATAATGCATTTAATAGTTGTGTATTACCAGCAAAAATGACTCAGTAGACCTCATGGCTCCTTATCCAACAGAACAGATCAGAGCCCAGAATTCCTGTTAACTGGAGCATTACAGTCAGGGCTGAAAGTGGAGAAAAAACATATCTGATAAGTGTTCTTTTGTGTCTTATTTCAGTGCTTCTTGTAGAGAAGTATCGTAGATGTGGTTTCTCCAAGGTGTGGTTTGCCAGTGCTTTTAAAGGAGCTACAGGGGTGAATCAGTCTCTAACACTCATTGGACACCACTTACAAAACCATCTTCAGTGGCTGAAAGTGGCAAGCAGTACCCCCACCGATGTGCTTCAAGGTATCGCGCTGACCGGCTGGCAAAGGTAAGTAGTAGCTTTTCTAATGGTTTCAAGGATCATGTGGAAGCAAACTTCCACCCAAAAACTCTTTAAGAGGCACAAGGAAGTTGGGCATTTACAGAGGAGCTTTGCAACACTGCAATCCTTCTTGCTGGTTATACTCAGTTGTGTAAAAGCAGCAAAACGTGGATTTCAGAATTCCAGCCAACTGCTACAGGCTTTAGAAGCAGAAACAGCCTGTTGGCATCCACTAACAGTAGCAGATTGGATCTGAAGGCTTGAATGTACTTTGTGCCACCTTGGAGTGCTTATAAACAGCACTGTGACTACTCCGCCCACAAATTATATTCTTCACATAACATCCAAATTCTTAACATTTGGAGTAACAATCAAAAAGGATGTGTTATATTGTAAAACAAAGAAATGGTTTTAACTGAGGCATGGAAGGTCTCTCAAGTGATTGTACTCTAACTGCACAGGACAAAAGAATTTAAATTCAGCTCAACCTACGGAAGTTCTCACAGCCCTGTTGAACTCTTGAATATCCAGCAGTATTCCTTAATAATTCTTTCCAATACCTAATTACTACCAAAAAAAAAGTCATAGTTAACAACTCAGTGTGAAGCTGAATGTCTAATGTGGATTCAAAAATAGAAGGAAGTTAGGAGAGGAATTTGGCCTAGGGGGGGTAAAAGGTTTTTATGTGCTAGTCAAGAGGTTTAAGGGAATACCAGAGAATTGAATTCCAATGTCTGATTCTAATTTAGCTTGAGCATCACATGTTCAGTATCTGTTCTAATTAGTAAAACAGGAACATGTAACATTTCAGAGATGGAAGATACTTTCTCTAAGACAGAAACTGATTTTCTAAAGCTCTTTGATTTTTAGTGATTGGAATCTTAACAATTCCCACTGCTTAAGTATGTTCTAATAATAGACTGGAATGTCTAATTAGTAAATGTGTTTTGTTTTGTTTTGTTTTTTAAGGTATGATCACTTCTCTGTTTTGTGTGAGCTTTTCCCTGTGGCAATTCCATCATTGGCTGTATGTCTGCAGGCACTAGAGAACGGTACAATGACAACTTTATTCTCTCTGAGCTAAAACTTAACACAAGAGTGAAATAACCTTGCCCTCAGGTTGGCACAGGCTTATCACATTTTGAGGTGGTTTGACTGTATGATCATGTTCCGAATTGCAAACAATAGATCATGCATCTCACAGGCCTGCAGTAGGGAAGTAAGAAAGTCTCAGCATGTATGTAAAAATAGCCATAGTATATTAATTATTGGTTGCATTTTAACCTGCAAATCATCACAGAATTCTTCATTCATACTGGAAAAATTAAGAAACTGAATTGTTTATTTGAAAACTAACATGAAACACTGCTGGAACATAAGTGAGACTAATAACTTTTACATGTAAACAACATCTAAATGTAAACTAATCCACTTTCTTAAAACTAATCTAAGAAGTGTGGTAAAAAAAAAAAATCCTGTAGTCTCTGGCTTCTTCACAGGCAGTTACCAATAGAATATTTGTCTTCCCACGTTTCTTTTTCAAAACAGAAAACCGCAACATACGTTTAACTAAGGTACTAAAAATCTTAAGTAACCTGAATGGAAAAATCATAGCTTGAAAGTGCTTCATGTAGCACAAGAAGCCCCATGAAAGACAGCCTACTCACCACAACCCTCAAGATTTTTCCTTGTTCTGTTTCCATTTTACCTTTTAAAAATTCTTCATCCAAGGTGTTGGCCAATGCTGAATACTCCAGGGGGAAAAAAAAAAAAAAAAAGATACACACTCTTTTAAAAACATTTTGGTTGCTTAGGCTCCTTTTGTTTACCTCTACTGTCTTCTGCCCAGGTGGCTATTCTGAAACGGTTAAAGAGAATGTGGAAAAGCTCCTGGGAATGCCCAATCTGGAAATTGATACTTTCATGAGGTAAAATTCCATCTGCTGGGTTCCGATTCTTCTCATTGCATGGTAAGTTCAGAAACTAATGTTCTTTTTGGACAGCACAAGTCTGGGGACCTTTCCTGGGAGCACTATTCTTTCCCTGGTGACACAAGTTAGTTTCTACCTCAAGTCATCTGTGGATGAACTTCTTGAAAGGAACAGGTAAAAAGGTTTACTTTGATTCTGTCTGCAGGAGTGTGGGGGCTATTTCATCTACAAATTGGCTGTATATTCAAGGAAATCCAGTAAAGTGACGATTCAATTCACTTAAACATCAAGCTCCACCTTTCAGGCACTGCATCCCTATATATTGACACCTCAGCAAAATATATTTAAAATATTTCTGCTGCATTCCTAAACACTCCGTGCTTTTTTTTTTTTTTTAAACAACCAGATTCTTTGTTGAATTAGTACTTACTGCTCTTTAAACTAAAAATGAACACTTTTAATTGTATGGTTACAGAAAAAGAACTTGAAACTTACATTTCAGCAGGTGATCAGTTATTGTCATCTGCCACTAACTGTCTTTTACAAGCTAGTTCCAAAGACAGAATTAAATTTACTTATTCCTTAGGCATTATCCCCAGTTGTGAGATAAAGCTAAAGCTCTATCACCTCCTTCTCAGCCTGTAGAGGCATTGCTGCTTGTTTCAAAAACTGTTCATTCTAACATCCATTTTCAGATATGTCACAGGCTGGTTCAGTCCCTACCACAGAAAAAGGAAGATTATTCATCCTATAATAATGCATCATTTTCAGCCAGATGCAATAAGGTAACACCACCTATTTCACATTCTAGGGGAAAAAGTCTAATATTTCAGGTGAGCAAGTTCATTCCACTTTGAGTTCTTGCCTTTTTCTGTGTTACTCCAGAAGCATCGATGGAAATCAATCAATATGATGTGCTCATAATACAGTTTTAAAAAGAAGAGCACATTTGTCTTAATCTGCCTTCTGTTGAACAAGATCATTGAATACAAGTACAAAATTAGTCTTCAGAGCACTCTCCCTTGTATGTGTCATTACCTAAGGAAATTACCAAGATTAATGGTACTTAAATGCAAGCAGCATCAACCTTTTGCCATTTGCACAGAATCAAGTCCCTTGAGCTCTTCTAGCAAATGCTGCTCCTGCAAAGTCATCCCAAGAACTGTATCCCCTTTAAAAGTCCCAGTAAGCTGGGCCTCCCTTGAGGCAGAACTTTCTTGCACGTGATGGTTTTTTTTCCTTCTGATTTTTGGTTAGTCTTCTGTCAAAGTGGAATGCCGTGGTGCAAGACCTCCAAGTGGCCATGGAACAAGTTTTCCACAACAGTACTGTAGAGGAGTGGATGGAGGAGAACGTCCACCCAAGCCTACAAAAGCTGCAACAAGTGGTGGATGATTTAGACGAAGCAATAAAAGCACAAACCTAGGTGTGTTCCAATTAGTCTGTTTTATTCCTTGTGAAATGACATGGGGATATCTGCAACTAATCAGAGAGCTAGTTTGTCATCTGAAGAGTTGAGGCAACAACTGATTAAACAGAAGTGCACTGAAGGCAAAAAGGAATTTTTCAGGGTAATGAATGAAAATACGGACTTGAAGTCTGACACTGCTGAGCCTTAAATCACCTGCCCTGTCAGATTTGGTCTCCTTGCATACCAGAAAGGAGCGGGTCAGAATTAATCCATATTTACAAGGCAGAAGGGAGAAAAAAAAAGCTTTCCCAAATTCAGTATATCTGCTGCACTGCAGCATTGTCCAAATTGAACCATGAGCAAAGTCTGCTGAATGAGGGGAAAAAGGCTGTTAACATTATTTTAATTTTGAACTTTCAATAAGCTATAGTAAGATACATATGGGCTATACATATAGCAAGATATATGCAGACTTAACTACCTGACTTTCAAATTACTTTCCCTTGTAACTATCTTAATGTTCCAGTTAAGTACGCTACTTTACCATGCATACTCAAGTTTGCTTCCTTGAGAGTCTTACTTTGGAAGCACAAGTATGGACATTTTCTTGGAATTGTAAAATGAGCATAGCTCTAGATGCATACAGTACAAGAACTATAGCATAGCATAACATATCTTTACCTTATCAATAAGGCTCTAGGAATTTGGCCCACCTGATTTTTAGATGGAGATACACAACTGCCCTGTAAACCTTAACTCAAAAGTTGCATACCTTTAACTCAGTAAAATCTTATTTTACTCTAATAAATCATTTGGTATGCAAAATGTGTTGAAACTTGCCTTTGTTTTGCATATGGTATGTTGGTTTGGTTAAAAGAGGAAAAATGCACATTTATGCACCAGTGGAGAGTTGGTTGCATTAGCTTATGTGACAGTGTGTAAATGAAAGCAGGGTTGGAAATAAGTTACATATTGGTGTTTCATCCACTCTGCTCTCTTCCCCAGCCAGTAGGCCTGTGCCAAGTGGTAATAAATACAATAATAATCAATAATAATAATCAATAAATACATTTTAATTACAGTCAAAGAAAAATACTAATGATATAAAACAAGTTGATTTTATCAATGGACTTTTATTTTTAATAGAAAAAGACAAACATACAAGGCCTTGCTGAAATTCTACTTGCATATTAAAGTAAAAAAAGCTATTTCGAAGTATTTTCCAGAAGTATTTCTGCCTCAGCAACCTACTACAGCGTCAGAACTATCACTTCTTTAGTATGTAAGCCAGCCTAAATAATAAGGTTTATTATTTGTGTAACTTCATGAATATAGCACAAGAGTCACATTTCTAGTATATGGCATAGTTTGATGTTCTTTGAAACCAAAGAAGTGATCCTAGTTACTGGCACATCTCATTTTGGGAAATACAGGAATATTAGAGCATAGTTTAGATAATGCAACTTTCTCCCTTTGTACAACACGAAGTCTAGCTTCTGTTCAGTGTGACTATTAAGACCAGAATCTCTCCCAACTGTATACACACAATTAACTTCAAAATGTGCTACTCAAGTTTAAGCTGAAGTGGTGCCAAGTGGTTCTTCTGATAGTTACATTGAAAAGCGTTATTTATAGAAAGTGTTTGGTTTATGGGGCAGTGGGGTAGATTTTATAACATGTTATGCAGACTCCAAAGTGTACTTAAGTCATATATGAGCTACAGCTGCCTGATCTCAGGTTACTAGACATCCTGAGGTACAGAAAGCTTGAATACATCTCTTGTAATACTGTTCTAGGCGTACACTAGCCAAAACTAGTCTTTTACTCACTCCTTTTAGTACCGCAGCTTTAGATCAGGCACACATAAGGCTACATTTACTGAGCCTTTTTATATGCTAGACCCAAGAGAGGCTGAGAAAACAAAAGGTTTCAACAAAACACTGACAGTGACAAGAAAAGATGAGAGGACAATTAGAAAGAGTGAGGCAGCTGAGGCATTCTGGAGGATAGCAAGGCCAGAACAGAACCTGTCCTGAGTTAGCACCTGCTGTTCTGAGCAGTTCAAGCTATTTCACGAGTCCACAAACATTGCTATAACCAGATCCATTTGAACTGCAACTTGCAGGTTATTTTTCCATGCACAGTTACTGCAAAACATGGAAATCTGGTTATCTGGCTACGTCTCCCAACTACGAAGGACAAACCGTTTAACCAAGACAGTTCAAAACCTGAATCAAGAAACACACAGTCAAGAAACACAGACTGATACACATTCACCTATAGAATCCAAGGACCAAGTTGCATTTACTTGCACTGTAGGTTGGTTTCATGATATACTAAGCTCCCAGTTGTACATATCAGGTCCGTAGTGTCCAACATATGGCCTGCAGGCAGAACCCACAGCATTTAAGGAATTCTGTCACCCTTTGTTTTTAGCAGTCTACAGAATTCAGGTTCTCATTTGAAACTGTTTTAGATCATTCCTGCCTATGGCAGGGGGGTTGAAACCAGATGATCTTTTAAGGTCCCTTCTAACCCAAGCCATTCTATGATTCCATTCTGGCATTCTAGATTTTATGGGAACAGAGCTGCCATGTGCAAAACAAACAGTACAGGGAGGATCACACCAGCTGTTCTAAATGAAAGACTGGGGCTTCAAAATTCCAGTCCTCTCTTCTCTTGCCTGCCTAGTATAAATAGGAAATCAGAGGGTGAGAGGACCACTGCAGAACATCTTAAAGGAGCTGAGCATTGGATATCAGCTATAAATGCAACTTATTCCACAGAACGTATTACAAGCTACCTAATACCTTACAGCAGGTCTTGCCCCTTTCTGGAAATTGAGTTTTCCTTACATTTTGGTTTAGTCTTTATATAATATTACATAATACCTAAGTACATAATGCTAACATCCAGAATGCACAGCAAGCTAGATGAACAGAAGAAATCAGCAGAAGCAGGGCACGTGATACAGTATAGCATTAGATCAACAGAAATGCCTTTATAAAAACAGTTTTTATCTGGAAAGCCAAAGCATGTTGTGTATTTTCCCTGTGACATTACCTCTCATGGAAATATAAAAAAAACTGTGAAATCAACATCAAATGCAGGCAGTTTTGTCCATTGCATCCACTTAATGGTCAAATCTGTAGGTTCAGAATATTAAGTGCAATGCACAGGCACACTGTGTACTCCTGCTGGATATCCTTGCTACAAAACAGGTATCTGTAGGTAGAGCCCTCTTACATTATATCATTCATACGCAGTTCTTACAGTATTTACTCCTGGAAGTCCTTACAACACTTGATGCTCATTTTACAGAGTGCTGAAAAAAGGTTTCCAAATGCCAAATCTCATTCTCCTCTCCAGATTAAGTATTACTGGGGGTACATATTAGAGTGGATTTAAATGAAGATCTCTCTAAAGTGTTATATTCTGTTTTTTATTTTATAACAGGTTTGAGGATTTGTAGTTTTACAGCTGTGCTTTAGAATAAAGGTGAAATATGGTTAATTAGCTGCAACCTATTTTCCCACATTAGTACATGGCAGCCTCCTAAACCTAGCAATGTGGAAATTAAAAGCTAAAGAATTAGCCAACCAGTTTGGAGGACTTCACAAGCACATCCATTTGCAGAGGTCTGCTTTGATACCAACATGACTACAAGTTTCTCATGTTTTATACTGATAGACCTGCTTCTGTGCCACAGTCGAGCTGCATCAAAAGCAGCTCTCTCCCTGTTACACTTTTGATTAACCTTTCAAAGCAACAACAGTAAGAGTACATCTGTCTCACAGCTGACATAAATGGCTGGAAGCAAAAGCAAAATCATGGTGCAGCCTGTCTTTGGTCAGATAAGCATGTGCACAGTTTCCTACAGCTGGAACATGCTACGTGATCTAGCTTCTGCTGAAATCATTTCATAGCTTTTACTTTAAGAGGTAGAGTGCTTTGAAACAGAAAGGCAGGTTAAGCCCTGAAGAAACTGTTGATAAAAGACATTTAACTGCTAGCTAAACATGAAGGCAGACCACTCAGTTACCTGGTAGCCCATTCAGATCTCCTTGAGGAAACTGTACTACAAGCATTTTTTTTAAGGCAGGTCTTAAAACCATACAACTCCTAACACAAGCTGATCAACTTTAATACAAGCAATTTTAGCATGCGGAAGGAACCTCCAACTCATTACAGCTTTTGTCTTACTGTACTGACATGTTGATATAGGCACAAGGAAGTTTTAGTTCCAGCAAAACATGTTGACTATTAGAGGTAGCTTTAACTTGGAAAAAGTACCTTGGAAAGTCTATATTTATGTATTTGTAAAACTACAGGTCAGAACAGAGGACAGTACCGAGTAAGACACGGGCACAAGCGAAACATTAGATATATCCCAGCTATCTTTAAAAAAAAAAAAAAAAGTTATTTACCATTTCAAGTGAGGAAATATTAAAAAAAAAAAAATCTAGGCTGCAATGTATGACAGCCCTTTCCCTACCTAAAAGTAACATGTGCTCGTCTCCTTTCTAAATACACAGTTAAAATAGTAGAAGTTTAAGTCTAGAATAAGGCTACTCTATCTTTGGGTAGTCTATGCCCAGAAGTTAAACAGAACAGGATTAAGTCAGAGCATGTCAAAAACTGGGTGATCAACCTGATCATTCTGTGGTTATTATTTATGGCTCCTTGGCAAGTCCAAGAGAAGACAGTGCAATCAATTGATCAACCTGATGTTTAGAATTCCAGACAGTCACTCAAACTTTGATTCCCACTAGTATCTAATGGCAAGTCAGTAGTAGAGAATATAAAAGTGCCACTACCCTGCATCACCTTATTGTATATATTAAGCTGCTTAAAAACAATTTAGCAATATATTCCATCATACGCAATACTTCAAGGAAAACCTCAAAGCACTGTGTTATGAATTACAAGTTCAACTATTCTGTATTTCACATACTGTACCTGCAGCAGATGTTTGCAATAAGTGGAAGTTTTCATCTCTATCTCCGCTTCATTAATGGAAAAGTAATAAACAATTTCAAACCAATACATTAATAAATAACCATTCCTAAATGTGTTAGATGAGCTGACAAAATTCAGAAGACAGCAACCTCCACATTCAGGAACTAAGTCAAAGGAAGAAATAAAACAATTTGCTCTGGACTCTACAATGGCATTATTGGGAGCGTGGATCTTGAAGCAGTTTAGCACTGTAAGAGGTGCCCTAAGACAGATTCCTCCCATTGAAAATGCATATGTAGATAAATGCCCTGGTCAAGACTGAGGAATTCCTTTCTGAAGAACCAGCATATTTTCCAGATGTTTGAAGATCTCTGCTTTCTTCAGCTCATGACAGTATTAATATTCATCCTGTGGTTCATCAGCGTCACTAGCCTCTGTTTCACTGCTCTCATAGAGATCTTGTTGGCTTGCTACTCTGTCCAATTCCAGAAAGCTAGTAATGAGCTTGGCAACTGCTTCCACATCACTGTGGAAAGGAAGAAACAGTGTAAGAGTTAATGGAATTGTAGTGCTGATTAAACAAAAACAGGCACACTAATTCTTGAGAATCGCTGGTTGAAGGACCAGTTGATATATGGCATACAGCATGACTGACAGCATCCCACATGTGAAGGCATGCAAAGCCAAGCAATTACTACCACGTCAGAATACAATCCTTTTTCCACAGGCCCTGCTGCAAGATTCCTTATAATCAATATTCCTTTATTATCAATCCTTTGGCAACTTATGATTACGCTCTTTGCAAAACAATCAAATTAATCTGCCATTGCACAGTTGAGCTGTGAAACAGGCATGCAGTACTAAGGCATCTTAAATACCTAAAAACAGTAAGTCTCCTGATCAGGATGGTATTAAAAGGATTAAAGAAGTTAAACTGAACAACACAAGGTAACATCAGCATGCATAATAACAGAGCCAAGATAACCGTCTCAATAGTTGGCAGTTACTGGTCCATGTGATTGGTATTTCCTATCTTATACTTCATAATTAAAAAAATCCACACTTCACCTTCTGCAGCCCAGAACAGCGCTCTGAGTCAGTGGGTGTGAAAATCCAGTGATAAACCGTAGCACAACCATGTAACCCTTCCCAAAATACCGCACAGTCTCTTCTTCCACATCCACATCTCTGATCTCATGCAGTTGAGCCACCACTGTAAACAGATGAGAAAAATAAAGTCTATTACTACCATTCCTGAAAACTCTCAGCACTACTACTCCTGACTTGTGGGACTGGAACTCTGTTCTTGAGCACTACTGCTCTGATCCCGTACAACTAGCACTTTTACAATACCAAGCAATTGCTGAGCAATTCAGGCAAAACAAATTGCGAACGAAATGCAGACAGGACAAACTGCAGACGGGAACGGCATGAAGTTCAAAGGGAAATGTGAATCTTGTACCTGGGCAAGAATAATCCCAAGCATCAGTACAAGCTGGGGGCCAACCAGCTGCAAAGCACCTCTGAAGAGAAGGACAAACCAGGACAAAAAAACAGAAATTTCAACCCTAGGATCCAAGATTTCTGCCTTTCCACCAGTCCCACTAGCAAAGTAGGATAGGAAAATACAAGCATTTCCAAAGGAATGGCTCAGACTATTACAGAAAGCCACACATAAGTTTAGTTATCCTGAATTAAAATGACTAACACAATGCTTTCAGTACCCCAACCTGAAAAACACTTCGGTCCTGAGAGGCAGTTTATGACTTCTGCAGCTTGGAAGCAAAATAGATATGGAAACAAGTGTGGCTAACTGGAGTACAAAACTGCAGAGAATGTTATCAAATGGGTAAGCACGCATTTGTTGTTAATCAATCACAGTTGCTACCAGAGATACTGCTTTCTCACCTTGTTCATTGCCTCCTTTTGATAAAGTCAGTATTTTTCTGTAGAGGTTGAATGTTTTTAGGCAGACTGATCCCTTGTTCTTATCAAATATAGCTTCCTGTAAAATTGTAAAACAAAAAATAGTAATAAGAATACCATCAATAGCTAGGCTTCAAAGTATAATACATATAGCAGTTACATGTGAAAATAATCAGAAAAGTATATAGCTATTTTTAATAGAGACAGTCTTCTACTATTGGGCCATTAAAACTGAAGTCTTGCTCTTGGCTTTTAACAGGCTTCACCATATCTCCTACACAATTTCTAAAGCCAAGTTAGAGCTGGTTTCACTGCCCGTCCTGCTACATTCTTCATGTAATAAAAACTATGCCTGAAATAAAATCTGAACACTTGGTGCTCCTGTAACTCTCACTTTTCACATATGCATTTGGCTCATTTTGCTCACTTACATGGAGAAAGCCACAAAGCACCTTAGGGCAGGTCTTCCCTTTAAAAAAGGCTTATGTTTAGCATCATCGTCATGCTTATGTAGTTCAAGAATTAAGTGCCCTAATTAATTCTAGTCCCAGTATAGCAATTTCAAAGTGTTTCCTCCAAACTTAAAGCATAAATTGTTTTAACTTCATGATATTCAAGTGCATCAGGCTACCAAAGTCAACACTTGACTGTTTCTGAACTAGCACAACAGCCTCATTTCCTCAGTTTAGCATCTTACCTCCCACTGCTCCATTTAGCATCTTACCTCCCACTGCTCCAGATTCTGTGCTGCCACAAAGAAACACCCAGCCATGTAGAAGAGCTTCCATGCCAAGCTGTCTGAACAACAAAAGATGTACAAGTTTAGGATTTTTCCTTCTTTGGTATTCAACATTTTAAGATCTACATGTGCCTTTACAAGGCAACAAGGAAAGAAGTGGTTTCTCTGATGCAACATTTTTGCCTAAGTATGATATAAGCTATTTTACAGCACTTTTCCAAAATAATAAAAGTGGAATTATTTTTTTCCAAAGACTCCCTCTACACTGGGCTCCAAACCATGCAGAACTTTAAGTATATGTATTATTTCCAAGGCTGTAGCATCATTACACATCTTTCTTCCCTACAAGCAAAAGGCATCCACAGAACTCTCTCAACCTGCCATCAACTCCCAAACATTAGTGCTGCAGAGGACAAGGGTGAGGGACAACAGAAAGCAATTCACTGAAGCAAATGTGTTTCTTCATAAAAGGAAAGTCAGCCCTCTTGACAAACATTTATTTTATATTATTAAATGTTTACATATAGCAGCCTAAACAACATGCTTATTCAGACTTTCACTGGCAGGAGAGCAGAACTGTGCTCAGAACTATTTCAGAGTACTTTGTAGCAATGTCTAAGATGTCTGATATAGTTGGAGTCAGAAGCAGCTTTCACTGGACTTAAGCTCTTCCAATAAAAAAAACATGGACTATATCAGTAGAATATTCCTATACACTGTTTAGCTTTAAAATTTGAGACTCAACAGAATGCAGCAAGAGAATCACAGGACAGCCTACAGAATAAATTCCACATATGGAAGGATTTGTCATTTGATGTATTCTGCTCTATTGGCAGTGGGGGATGCAGCAGTAACTCTGTTCTTTAAAGGTGTTTTCTTTAAAGTTTTTTTGTTTAAGTAATCTCTGCTAGTGATGCTCTAACAGTTTCCAGAGAAACAGAGCACTTCCAAAGGCAACACAATCATTTCATTATGGTGGCAAACAATCATGATGTGACTTCCAGAAGAGCTGTGAGGACCAACTAATTACGTTTTTAAAACACACTGAAAGCAAAATATGCCAGAGTACTAAATATCAGACACAGGCAACAATTATTGGATTTTAATATCGACACCACGAAGTATGACAGGTACCTATACTGCCTTTATGAGGCCAGACAGAGCCGCACGGAGTCAAAGACAGATCAACAGGAAAACAGTTCTTAAAATGGTAGGCCATTACCTGCACTGTAATAAGCAGCAGCCAACCCTATGGAGGCTATTCCTAGAATAAGAAGGGAGAATTAGAACAAGCAGCTCACACCACCTAAGATTCCCTGAAAACATATGAATACATTAAAGCAATTACTTATCAGAATACTTTTCAAAAAAAAAAAGGGACTTGCAATTGCAACACTGATTACTATACAAAGACAGTCAGTTATTTTTCTCTGAACTCAATATAAAAATCTCCCATTCTCTATATAAAGAAATTAAGAAGCAGAGGGGATTGAGATCAGAAATAAAAGGTGGTAACAGAATCATGGACAGGATTTCAGAGGGACTCTAAGTCTAATTGCACCTACTGCCTCTCGAGCACAGTACAGCTTTGAGTGTGCTAGCATTTATGTTCATCATGCTTACACTACAAAGGTTATTTTTCCCCTCTTAAGTGCTGTGGAGCCAACAGAAGAGTTGTGCAATAAAGTTATGTCAGAGGCTACCAACTGCTTTCTTCCATTCAGGAGGAAGCTGTGGCAGAGAGACTGCAACTGCAAAGATCTTGTCTCAATGCAGCTTTGACAAACCAAATAACTGAAAACAATGACGATGTTGTAGTGTTAATGCAGTGGGATCTACCCAAGTGGAAAGTAAGATATACCACATTTCCCCCACAAGCTCTCAGGGTGGTCCTAATAGATACCACCCCTATTTTTTTCTGCATATACAATACTGTTTAAAAATAGACGGCTTTCAGAACATCAGGCACAACTTCCTATTTCACATACACAGCGCCATCAAGAGTTCACTGTTAGCCACATGCAAGATCTATCTCCAGCATTGCTCCAGTGCATCCACTGCAAATTTTTCCATTTCTGAGAACCTCAAGTTTTCAATGCAAGCATGAGTTCTCTTCAGAAGTTCCAAACATTTACATTGTTCTATGACACAACTTTCTTTTCCTGACCTTTCAAGACTCCCTTAGAATTCAGTCCATGAGCCTCTGAGGTTCTGCAGGTGACAGACTGAAAAATAATCAGAGTAAAACTGCCACACTGAGGAAGAGATTTCAGACCCACTCAGAGACTGCACTAAAGGGGAAATTCAAGTAAAAATTAATGTTCCACGAAGAAGACACCTGAAAGATACACATTTCTCGCTACAGGCTCTTCCAGGAATTTATTTTCTTCACCCCTTCCCTTAAAGCAAGCTCTGAAATAAACTGAGGAATACTGCAGTCTTACCAACAAAGACAGACCAAGATCTGATGCCAGGTGACCTCTTCAGATGAAGAAAGGAACTTGTGCGGTTTTCAACCAGCATGTACATCTTCAGAAGAAACTCCACACAGCCCAGTCTGACTCATGAAACCTTCTGGACAAAACAGAGAAATAAAAAGTTGTTGCTGACTCCAACACTCTCCCTTCTTAGCAGTTGTCAGGGCTTCTTATCAAGTCTTAACCTAGACTATAAACATATACCAGTTTGGGACAGGGCCTTTTTCTCACAGGAATAACAATATGCATGCTTTAAAAAGTGCAAACACTCAGGTGGAAAAGACTTGCATAACAGAAAACCGAACTACTCTCCAAGAAATTTCTTATTTCAGGGATAAAGTTTCTACTCCTTTCTGCCACATTCCACTTGCAGGAGGCAATGTGGAAAAACAAGAACTTGAAATGATGTGCTTCATGAATTAACAATTCTTCAAACTAATAAATCAATAAGTGTTCCTTGACAGCACTTGTACTAACTGCAAAGGCAGCCACAACGGACTAGCATCTGAAGCGGGACAACGCAGCCTTTTGCACTGCACACGCTGGGTCTCATTCCAAATGACAGAACAGCAAGGGTTACAGCCTCAGCCTAACCAAGTGCCAGTGTCATATAGTGCCATATACGGTCCTCCATCCTCCAAGCCAAATCCAGAATAGAAACAAATTTCCAGCAATGCTGGACTCTCCCAAGCAACATCATGTCTTCAGCCTAAACACAAAGTAACAGCAGAGATTAAGACAACAGGTACTAGTCAAAACCAGTAAGAGCTGGACAACCCCACACAGCATTTTCAGCATCTATTTATTATCTACAATATAGAGAATTTGACTTCTGACATGACTGTGAGCTCCAGGGCAAAACCCAATCCTACCTTAATACTATCAGCACAGGCATAAAAACAAATTTGTACCAGATTCAAGGAGCATAAAAACCCAGCTGATCTGATCAGAATTGTCGACAGAGAAAGGACAGGCTGCTTACTGCTTCTCTTCCAGTAAGCAAGTAGAGATTTGTCATTACAAAGACCACAATCCAGTAAAAGTGAAATAGAAACACATGGTAAGCATTGCATCATAACGTTATCAGGGTATATGTTGGCTTCAATCAAGAATTTATTCTATTATTTTCTCTTTGTTACAACCTTAATACTAATTAAGGTAGAGGGTTCTAAGCACTTCTTCCAAGAGGAATTTCTACAAAGAATATCCTACAAAGCATATCAGCTTCCCCAATTGGTATGTTAGGAACCTTAATATTTGTGAAGCATTCTGGGGCTGTAAGACCTTAAACATTAAACAGCTCATTAATTATTGAGGACACTAAGCACCAATTCCTTCTATTGACTTGGTATTTTCATCATTAAACAGCCAACTCAAGTCATTTTGCAGGAGCTTAGCATTAAGAAGATATTAGCTGCATACATCTGATACGGCTTTCCTGAAGAATACCCATATTCAATGCATCTTTAAATAACCATGAAAAACAGAGCAGGCCCAAGCACATCCAGGCTGACAGGAAAAAAAGTATGCAATTTTTAGTCCTTTATCTTGCCATTCTTAAATGCTATACGACACTCCCACAGTTCTGCACAGACTAGCTGGTGTTGATACAAAGCTGCAAGCAATTTGGTTTTCCGTTTAATAAAACTGACTCGGCCATGTCTTTTCATTTAAATAAAAAGCACATAGGACTGATTTCAATCTCTTCGCAGCACATCTGAGAGAATCTGAAACTTATGTACGTGCTCCATCTCCTCCGGATGTTACGCATGAAATTTTGATTTTCAAATGGCTCCTGTGGGGTGCTCTCTATGCATCTGAATAGATTTCTGCATGTACAAAGTAGTTTCCTGCCTACAACCTAAAAAGTATCTGATAAGGCATCAAATACACAGAGATACCTGCAAAAAAAAATTGCTATATTTAATGAAACACACACTCAGGTGAAAACAGAGTGTATTTGCATAGAAGTTTAATCCATAAATGCAAGCTTCTATTGTGCCTTTCTTCCCCTCCCATATTCATTCAGGGAAGTCTAACCATGTAAATGCCAGTGTCAGCTTAGTGTCACCCAAACCAGGGGCATGATCTCACAGACACAGGTGTGTGCAAGACAGGTGCCTCAGGGAATACAAAGCACAAAGGCACTTCCTAGAAGTCACGGGCATGCTTTTAAGAACCACAGCAAGTTTGCCACAACAATTTTAAGATCACAACAGGACACAAGCAGTTCTAAAGCAATTTATCGGGTTTGACATTAAACTGATCCCCAGCACCATGTGAAACACAGACACGTTTCCTCCAGGCCCCAAAAGCCCCTGAAAGCCCCGGGATCCACGGTACACTTAAAACAGATCAACAAACGATAAAGGACTGATGAACACCATCACGAAGTCTGAGCGATGCCTCAGCATCCCGCCCCACCCCACAGAGATGCCCCCGCCGCGCCACCCTCCGCCTGACGGGGGCTGCACCCCAGCCCGCCCCACACCGGACCAGCGCCCCTTGAGCCCGGACCAGCCCCTACCGGCACCTCTCCAGCCCCTACCGGACCGTCCCGGTGCCCCTTCAGCCCAGTTGCCCCACGAAAAGCGCCGCTCCCCACCGCCCTACCTGCCCCCGTTGCCGTCGCAGTACAGCAGCGCCTCGGGGAGGATGCTTGGTGCCTTCGCTTCCTGCAGCCCCCTGACCACAAAGAGCCGCTACCGGGCCACAGCAGTGCCTCGTCCGTCTTAAGAAGGGTCAGATGTGCCGGCGGCCATTTTTAGTGAGGGCAAGCGGTAGCTGAGGAAACCCGCCCGCCCCGCTCAGGGGTGGCTTGGTTCTCGCCGGAGGAGGAAGGGCAGCGCCCAAGATGGCGGCGCCGTGCCCGCGTTCAAGATGGCTACTAAGAGGGGGCGTTGTGTTGCTGAAGAGCTGGCGTTATTTGCGTTTTATGGCTTAACCCTCGTAAAAAAAAAAAGCAGGAAAGCTTGTGTGTTAGTAGAGGAGGGGCCCTACGTGCTATAGAGCGAGGTAAAGCGTGTGGAAGGGCTTTAATAAACACATTTGATGACAATTTGCTAGGCCTGTTCTGGGTGAGGTGGGCATGGTCCTTTGTTCATAAGCTGACAGAGTCACCTGCTGCTGTGAGGTTGGGTCAAGGTGCTGTGGATAGGAGGGAACAGGGGTGCAATGAGGGGCATATTCCATTCAGGGAGCCCCACCAGAGTGCCCTTGGACTTGGCAGCACCAGTGTATACAGCCTCCCTTAGGCTGATGTATGTCAGGGCTCTCGGTGGCGGCTGTGTGTACTTGGGGCATGGGCTGTCACAGAGCCCTTGCACTGGGTAGTAGCCACTACTTGCACTTAGTGAGTGTTGTACAGACAGGAGGCTGCTGCATGGTGAGGTTAGAAAGGGATTTCTCAGTATCACAAAATTGTCTCAAGATAGCTGTCTATAGAAGACCCAGTAGCTGGGACTTGGAATGTCTAGTGCAGCAGGAATTGCAAAGCAAAATAAAAATGTGCTTACAGGTTTAATATTAATGCCATGACTATTCATTAATTACATGTCACCTGTAGGCTTGGGTTTGGAAAATCTATTGCTTGGGGAGGAGAGTTTCCAATTCAGTTGAAATCCTGAGTGACTTTCCTGTCATGGACTGTAAGCTATATTTGAAAATTCCTTTGTGTTTCAAGTTTAGTTAAACATCATTCAGGTATGAAAGTTGTTAATGTTTAATCTATTAGAGCATCAGCTCATGTAAGATTTGGGATAAAATGGGTAAAATGTGGGCACCTGTAGCTTAGTACAACTCCTTAAATTTCCTTTATGTAAATCAATGGATCATTTCATCTCCTGAAGATACTTGGTTCTCTCTCAGTTGCACAGGAATGTGATCCTTCCTTAATGACACTTAATTTTTAATATTTTCCTAATAGAAATCCAGATACTCCAGAGGGGTTGCTTAAGGCCATATGCTTGAAGTTTGTTCAGCTGTTCCAGAACATCATTGCTGGTGAACAGTAACTGAGTTTTTGGTTCCACAGTGAATGGTTTTAGATTTATGTTAGACAGTCCAAAGTCCATTAGTTTTAGATTAGACAGTCCAGAGTTAACTGTGTGAAGATTAGGGGGAGGGAGGACTCAGACTCCGTGTTATGGAGTTAATTTACTGCAAGTAATAGAAAATACAAACTGATCTGCAGTTTCTGTGTTGTGTAACAGAACAACTATGTGAATGGGGAAGGGCTACAAGGAACTGAAAGCTTGAATTGGCATGCTTGGGAGTCATGAGGTACCAGCTGCTGGCTTTGGATGAATAATACAAAGTAATAAGTATCTTGTGTTTTCAACCCAAACAAACAACTGAGTTTCTATGGCTTATGATAAAAATAATCTATAAGCAGCGGTCAGCTTTTAAATGCAGGTAGTTTCTTTGGAAACCAAATGTTAAGCCACTTCATGTGATAAAATACAAAGACTTCTTGTCTCTAGAGTAGAGTGAAGAAATTCATTTGTCCCCTCCAGTCAATATATATCACACAGCATACCAGTAAGGATCTGTTTTATTCTTCTATTGCTATCTGCTAAAATATTAGCATTTCTATACTTCTCCAGTTCTGCTAAAGCCACATTAGGATAAACTGGAAAGACTTAATTATGAAGTTAGAGGGAAATTGTTTAAAATATGGGAAATACCCCACACGTGATCAAGCATATGTCTAAACTGTAATAGGGCAAAGATCTGGTATTGATTAATAATTCTTATGACATTTCTTGTGCAATAATTTGGGGATTTTATTACGGTACTTTGAAGTAGGTAAGTGGCGATATGCCTACTGATTTAAAAAAATAAATTGAGGAAGAAACACATTTTAAAAGCCTAATCTTGGACTTAGAACATAATGAAATCCAAAACATGTTGCTGCAGAAACAAAAACTATTTGCCAGAAGAAAAATTCAGAGATACGTAATTGACTACTTGTAGAGATCTTGCTCAATAAAAACATTTTTAAGCCATTGTATAGTAAATAGACTTGTAAATTCTAAGTCATGATCTAATCACAAGAACATGCAAATATGACAGAACCGGTCTTTATTTTGCATTAGTTTGACTCTGACTTTGTGCCTTTATTTCTTTTTCCTAATTCCAGACCCTTTTCTGAAATATTCTCTTGTAGTTCCTTGTACTTTTGTTTTTTCCGTTCAAAGTCTTCCCTTAAACTTAGAAATTCAGCAGTGCATTATGTGTGTGATTTTATTAACATGCCAGGATAAAATTCCTAGTGTCTTTTGATTTTAAATGGTTGTAAACAGTCACTAATCTAGTGTTGTGTTTTGCAGCTGGACTGAATTGACTGTCAGTCCCAGATAGAAATGATATCATCCCATTGCCCCACTGAACTCTATGGGAACATTGTGTATAAAGCCTGGAAATTGCTCATTTCATGGAATACATGTTTACCAGCTGTAACTAAGATTTATTGCCTATTCTGACAGCTGTTGAGTGGCATATGCTGTCACTGACTTGAGGAGGCATTTGCAGCTTACAGTGCCTCGCAGCACTGATGCATAGCCTTTAAAGCTTTCTGAAATGGGTTGCAATGTACTGTTTTCATAGAGAAATACTTAGTTTTCTATTTCATTATTGGTATAAATGCTTTAGGTACAGGTATAAATGTTAAATGTAGCAACAGAGGCCAAATACAGCAGGAGAGGACACTTAAAGTGTCCTTTCTTAATACTTTTAAGTGCTACCTACTGTTGACATAGAAAAGCTTTTACATTGAGTTTCTTTGGTAGTAGCCTTGCAGCCTAGCAAGGGTGCTAACTGCTACCACCCCAGGGGCAGATGAAAATGGGTTGTCAGGCACAGTGCTGATGGTAACTGATGTGATGTTCTATGGGAAAATGGTATAAATAGCTAATGGAAAGCAGAAGTTGCCCTCGGCAGTAATATAAATGGGACATCTAATTATCTAATAATTGCATGAGCATAATCTTATACTGTGCATTGAAATATTGATTCCTTGCATGCTCCCCAGTTTGTACAAGTTTTTGCTCTTTTTTATTGATTGAATTCTTAAATTTAAATTAATTTAACCCAGGTGTTCTCAAGGCAGAGGTACACTTGAGATGTTTTCAGATGGTTCAGTATTTCTGCAAATGTTTAGATGTTGATTTGCATTATGAATGTAAAGAAATATGAGGAAAAACTAAAAATACATATATTTTAAATATGATCTGTGCAGAATTATCAATATAAACACCAGTACCACAATGTAAACACCAGTGATAGGACCCACGGGAATGGTGTTAAGCTGAGGCAGGGGAAGTTTAGGCTGGACATCAGGAAGAGGTTCTTCACCGAGAGGGTGGTTGCACAATGGAACAGGCTCCCTAGGGACGTAGTCACTGCACCGAGCCTGTCTGAATTTAAAAAGTGATTGGACTGTGCACTCAGTCACAGGGTCTAAACTTTTGGATAGACCCGTGCGGTGCCAGGAGTTTGACTTGATGATCCTTATGGGTCCCTACCAACTTGGGATATTCTATGAAATATCCAAAGCTGTCACATCTTTTGAAGAGTTGTTGTATTAAGTTTGGATAACAAAAGTAAGCATAATCATAAGTGTGAAACAGAAGGATTTTAACTATGACTTTAATTGCAAATCTCAATATGTTCCTAACTGAGAACGCTACTGCTATATTTGACAATGCAACTATGCGTACTGTATCCTTGTGGAATAAGGACAAGATTGGCACAATTTTTTTATAAGAAGATACTCATCCAGAGGGACAGAAAAAGATTTTAACGAGATGTTCCCTAAATGCTGCATTCTAGTAACTTTGTAGGAAACCCGAAGTCTTAAGTTATATTGCTCTAGAATGATTGTAGTGCTCTAAAAATTCTTGTACTAACATGGTAATACAAAACACGAAAGCATATTGAATGAAGATAGCAGAAGCACAGGGAACTGTCATTATCGTAGCTATTATAATTTTTGCCTCAAGCAAGGATTAGTGATATTTTTTCCAGGGTGTATATATAAAGCAATATCAGTGTGTTTTTCTTTAAATAGGCAATAAGAAATGGTGCTTCTATGTGCTTTCATTATTATTAGTAGTAAGGAATTCCTGATTCCTCAACCTCAGTGATATGTCACCTCAGTCTCTAAATTAAAAAAAAAAAAAAAAAGGCATTATTTTTACATTCTATTCTAGGGTTATCTTTGAGAACACTAATTAGACTGGTGATTTGGCTGTAAAAGATTTTAAGACATTCACTTCTCGGGATGTGATGTCTTTTATAGGCAGTTTGCAGTAAGAAAAAAAAAAGTGGGAAGTTACATTGTGGGGTTACAAAATTAAGCAGTGATTACTGTCTCTAGTTCTTGTACAACATTGCCATTTGTGCTTAACAATAAATAAACAAATAAGTAAAAACATGTGGTTTAAAGCTGTAGACCTTACCTGTACCAGGAAGAAATTTACGTTGCACACTGCAAAGGAAAGTTGCAGTTCAGAGAGGAAGTTACATGCTTGGTGGAAGTTCCGTGGTTTAATTTCTGAAAGGTTATTTTTTATACTTGAAAAAATTATCTGCTCAGCCATAGGCGTATGCTTATACAGCTGCTTAAATGGAAGGGATGAGTAAAAAGCAGAGTGGGCAAAATACGGGTTGAATTGTCATGCTTAAATGGTACAATGTGAGATTTAGGAAGGCAACCACTGACATGGATGTGAAGTGCCTTAACCAGTGCTGCTGGGGTGGCGAGGTGTGGGAGGCAGGGCTATGCACCCTGTAACACTATGCTGAGGGTTTCACGATGTGTGTTTGCAAACAGGGCACTGATACGTGTATTTTGTTTGAGAAATGGGAGATTAAGCCCTGTTGGCCTAATGTGCTTAATCTTGTGTTTAGTAACTTCGAAACAACCCCAGGAGCAGCTGAGGGCACTGGGGTTGTTTGATCTGGAGAAGAGGGAGGCTCAGGGGAGACCTTACTGCTCTCTGCAACAACCTGAAAGGAAGGTGTGGGGAGCTGGGGCTCGGCCTCTGCTCACAGGTAATTGTGACAGGACCAGAGGGAATGGCCTCAAGTTGTGCCAGGGGAGGTTCAGGTTGGAAATTAGGAGCCGTTTCTCCTCAGGAGTGGTCAGGTGTTGGGATGGGTTGCCTGGGGAGGTGGTGGAGGCACCGTCCCTGGGGGTGTTCAAGGCTGGCTGTGGTGCTTGGGGACATGGTTCAGTGGTGACATTGGTGGTAGGGGATGGTTGGAGCAGATGATCCTGGGAGGTCTGCTCCAACCCTAACGATTCTAGGATCCTACGAACTCTTATTTTAAAAGACCTGAAAGAAGCAATGGGGGGAGGGGGAGGCGAAATGTATGAAAAACGTACGAAGTAACTACGGAGGATGTTTAAACCACAGAAAAAGCCCGCAGCAGAGCACTGAAGCCTCCCCTTGCCGGCCCGGCGGCACCTCACGGCAGGAGCTGCCGGGGAGGGGGTGGTGGGCGCGCGCCTGGCGCGTGATGCGCGCCCCCGGCCCCTCCCGTGCCCGCGCGGCGGCGGGGGCGAGCGCGGCGGCGGCGGCTACGTGCCGAGGCTCAGGTCCACAATGGGCCCCGCCGCGCGGGGGGGCGGGGAGGCGGCGGCGGCGGCCCCAGTTCCAGTTCCAGCCTCAGCACGAGCCGGGAGCCCGGCGGCGACGCAGCCGTGAGGCGCTGCCCAGCCCCAGCCCTTGCCCCAGCCCCGGCTCCGTGCCCTTGCCGGGTATACGATTGAGCGCGGCGGGGCCGTACGGTGCCCGCTTTTTCCCCGGCCCCGCGGCCGCCCCGTCCGTGAGCGGCCGGTGCCTGGCGGTGCGAGGGGCAGGGGGCGGGCACGGCTACAAAGGGCGGCGGGGCCGGGCCGGGCCCTCACCGACCTGCTCCTGTCCCGCAAGAGAGCCGGGTGGCGCCGGAGGGACCGCAAATGAAGTGCGAGAACTGCACCAAAAAGGTGAGGGGGGGCGGCCGTGGGACCCCCCCGCCCGGGGACGGCGCCTCAGGGGGGCTCAGGGGGCGCCCCCGGGAAGCCCGGCGTGGTGGTGGGGGGCGCCCCTTAGGGCTTTTCGGGGTGCTTCGGGGTCGTTCAGGGTCGTGGTGCTGCTTCTTTGGGGTTTCTCGGGGGGGTCACCTCGCGATGTGTGTCTCTGGCTTCTCGGCGACCTGTTTGTGCTTCCCCTCGGGGTTCAAAATCATAGCAGTCGCTGAGAGCTGTGAAACCGATCGAGGGGATTTCTGAGGAATTATTTTCGCTGTAGCCAACGTGCTTTGAAAATAAAGCCTTGGCTATAAAGGTGCAGCTCTTGTACTGTCAAAACCTGTAAATGAGCTAAAGGAGTTTTTAACTATCCAAATAGTTCTGTAACGATGTTGCTGGGTATATTTCGCGTAATACGTCTTATGCTTTGTTTCAGGAATGCAGTAAAAAACAGAAAAATGATGACTCGCAAAGTGCATCTGTTGATGCATTGAGTTCTAACGATGGCTTTGAAGAGGTAATGTTCCTTCTAAAAACTGTACCATGTACTTTTTGTTCTTGTTTTGTGATGCACCCCAAAGGCAGAGGTTCCAAATAGAGAACTTCCAAGCGCTGGGTATAACGCTGTATCAGTTAAGACCCTGTCTGTATGTGTCCATAACATGAGAATCAAGAATCTTTTCAAAAGATGAAATAAAAAGACCTTGGTCTGCAAGCACAAACAATAATTGTTTTGTTGTTGTTGTTTTAAAGTTGTTTGTGTGTCAAAATCTTACCTCAATTCTTCACAATGGGAACAGGGCTTAGGAGGAGAAAAGTGGAATTTTGCCTGTTCAAGTGCACAAATGTATTATTTTTTTTATATAGGACAAACTCATGTCACATACTGTTCTTTAAGAGGTAACTGTCTCCTTGGGAATAGGTTCTTAATTGAAGGAATTAATTATTTTTTTTCCACAAGTAGCTTGGTTATCTTGCACTTCCATCCAAGTACTCATTTTCCCCCACAGTTGAGCTGCTAATTTTATTAGCCAGAAATCTAGAACTGTTACTTTGGTGTAAATGGTCACTGTAACTGAAAGACTGCTTTCTGTTTGTTTTACCTAGCAGTAAAAGCCTAAGCCATCTTGGTGGTAGAGGCATCTGCCTATTAAAGAGGCTTAATAGTTCAATTAAAAGTTTTCTTGCTTGGTAATTTATTGGTTACTGTCAACTCTGAAATGCAATGCAAATCAGGTTGCTACAACATGTATTTCAGGACTAAATTTAGACCTATGTGTTTACACTTAAACATTTTGCAGTTTCACAGTAATAATCGAGCAGAACCATGAAGAAGGATTGAACAAATTACTTTGACTATTTCTAAAAAATCTGTAATATTATACCAGTTTCATGGATCATCTTGTTGTAAATAAAACAGTGAGAAGCAGATCGGCTTTTTATCTGGGTCATTGCAGAGATCTTGAAAATTGCTTGATCGTTATTAAATTTTTATGTATTTGTATTTATTTATTTATTTTTTTTATTTATTTTTTTCAGAAAAATGAGTTTTATGCATTGGCTAATGCTAAAATACTCCTTAGCGACTGCTTAGCATGTGACAATTGTATGACATCAGAAGAAGGAGCCAGAGTTTTCCAACAGAATCAGAAGGAGCTCTTTCGTATACTCAACCTTAATAAGGTAAAATGACACAAACAATAATGCACTGTTTTCTGTGAGGAGGGGGAGAGATTACAGAATGACTAAGAACTTAATTTCCCAAGGCAGTCAATATGAAGATCTGTCAGGATGTACTTTGTCCAGAGAGGAATGAAAACTTAAGGCAAGATGAGCAGTAAAAGTACTTAACATAATTTTGCACTAGAGAAGCAAGATTACATCACTGGCCCTAAATGAAGAAAGTTATTGCACTTGCCCAAGTAAGATTTTTAGAAAACATAACTTCCTTATTACTCTAACATCAAAGAGGTCTGAGGTTCATTGTGTATGCATATTCACACCATAGTTGCTAGCACTGTTCTGGGAGTTTCTTATGGCAGTGTATCCACATAATACAAAGTTATTGAGGCTGACTTTTGGAAGTAGAATTGTTTTTAATGTATTTTTGAGCTGCCTATGTTTGGAACAAAAATGGTTGCCCTCAATTCAGCCAAAGAATTGCTGTTTTCTGCTGAGATTGGTATTCCCTGGAATGTAATCGCTATGTATGGTGTTAAGATTTGTAGATCTTGATACTGATTTAATTTAGTTCCATTCAAGTCTTCTGTGTCCTTACTTGGTAATGAAAAGCTATTAGAATTAATGCTGGCATTTTTTTTTATCTGTACATAAGTGTTGTAAATGAGATGATTCGTTACGTAGTAATTCAGTTTTCTTAGAACTCGTTTAACTCTCCATATAACATGATATTGTACATGAGAGAAAGAGAAGGAAGGGGGAGGGCTGGAGGGACACAACCCTTTCAGGTCACATAGGTCCAATTAAGAGAGCCCAAAGTCCACAATTGAGAGGCAGACAGGTCAGAACTTACCAGGTCCAGAGAAAGGTAGTGAGCAAGCAAGATGCTTTCCAGACAGTTGTGAGCTCTACTTGCAGGGTCATTATACAGTATTTAGGATGTCTGAGAACAAACTATAGTCTCTAACCTTTTATAGGGTGAGACTTGTATGTAGCATAGTCCTGGTTTCTCTTTCAAGTGTTCCACTGATCTGGACAACATCTCAATGAAACCACAAGGTTCATCTTCAAATAAATCAGAGTCATCTGAGCTTTACAATTGCACACCACTGTATGTGTTTTCAAAGAGTTCTTCAGTGCTTACAAATGCTGGCTTGTTTAGGGTCCTGCTTTGCCAGTTTCCTCTCAATTTTTTCAGTGATAGAGACATGGGAGCCTGAACAAAAGTTCAGATCTGTAATTCGCTGGGTTGAATTTGTAACTTTGCATGCCTTGCTCCTGGAAACACTAGTTCATTTATTTTAGTATTTAAACATTCTGCTTTTTTTCCTCATTTGTCAGTACTAGATTCTGGTAGGAATGAAAACTTGATAGGTGCTGAATGTCTCTTAAATTTCTTTATGCCATTATGAGACCAACTACAGAATTGTCTTGGGACAGATGAATTTCCCTGAGTCATACAAAAGCAACATCTACGGATGATTAGAGATAACACCGACAGGATCAGAAGAACATCCTGTCCTGCCCTCAAGAAACGTGGTAGTTGTTTCATAGGGGTTTTCATAATAAGGCCTGCTGAAGCATAGGACACTGAGGAGTAACTCCAGGAGTAGAAAAGGGAGGGAAAGGAGGGAGCATTACCCTTTTGTAATTACCTTGTTTCCTTTGTGTTTTGTTTTGTTTACCAGAAATGCGATACCTCAAAACACAAAGTGTTGGCAGTGTCTATATGCCCTCAGTCATTGCCTTATTTTGCTGCTAAATTCAATCTCTCTGTGAATGATGCAGCCAGGAGACTCTGTGGTTTCCTCAAAAGTCTCGGTAAGTTTGGGGTTGTTACGGTGGAGCAGAAAGGGAAGGTTATTTTATGTTTTTGCTTTCTCAGCAGAACTGTTTGTTATGCAGTCATAAAGCACAATTTAGTTTAGAGGTGAGTTTGAAATGTGTACTCTGTGATATTAGTGACCGTGCAGCAGTGTGACATACACTGGTTTCAGGAATAGATTTGAAGCATGTGTTGATAGTGAAGGTCAGAGAACAGAAGGACGTTACAAAGCCGTCTTTGAAATGTTCACTATGAAGAAACCAGGGAGGATTTGGCTGTGAGCTTCAATAAGATTTCTCCCTTGTTTTCTAACTTAGGGAGAGGGGATTCTTAGTCTAAGTGCCTACTGGCCCTTTGACATTAATTTCTAGAATATTATCAGATATTTTTTTTTCTGTATTTTCAAGTGACTCATAAAAACTGTTGTATCTGCTGTATGTTAAAGCTGTATTTCCTTTGTTCTTTATACTGTATATACAAAGTTTAATTAGAAAAACTAAGGATTTTATTCTTTAATGTACTTGAGGGAGGAAGAAGGACAGTAATAAACCCGTGAATTGTTTCCTGCCTTTTTTTTTATTTTTATTTTTTTAATGCATGTCTGTACCCAGTATATTATTTTCTGTGTCCAAAAAGAGAGCCAAGTTCTGGTGGGCCCCAGTTTTCTTAGAATACGTTATTTATCTTTGCCTCACTTGCTGCAGGGACGTGCTCAATATTACGTAGGTGTATAGGGAGTATGTTGCTAAACAAGCAGATGGAAGGTCTCTGCTGTGTTGCTGATATGCTCATGTACCTTTGCAGACAACTTAAGCAGAGGCAGATATGCCTCCTAGCAGGATACGTGTTGTGTTTTTTGTGGATAAGAAGTCACTTCATGTTTTGTAAAGAATGCTCATTCTCAAGACTCACTGCATATAGCCCTGAGGTCTTGTGATCCTATGCAATTGGACAAACAAAACGCAAATATTTTCTGAATGAAAAGCTTGCCATAAGGAAGCTGAGAGCTATTTGAAGTGTTGCTAGTCAGAGTTAGCAAGTTGGTGGTCCTTTTCAATTCATGACACAGAAGATAGCTTTTCAGCATACAGCTTTTATTTTTGACTGTACTAATTGTGAAATTTTTGTAGAGAATAGAGAATGTACCCATTGATCTTAAAAGATTTTCTGTACACCTAGGATTTGGAAGGATGTGTGAGGTGGAAAACATTCTACTCATTCACTTTTTCCTTACTATTGTATTTCATAGGGGTGCATTATGTATTCGACACCACTATAGCTGCTGATTTCAGTATCCTGGAGAGCCAGAGGGAATTCGTGCAGCGGTATCAACGGAGGAACCAGGAGGAGCATGCCTTACCAATGTTTGCCTCTGCTTGCCCTGGTGAGAACTGATTCTCCAACCTTCTTCCACCAAGGAATTAAGGGTGATTTCATCTGTTTTTCATAGGCTGTTGGAAGAGTTACCAATGGGCTTTCCCACGTGTGTTGAGCTATCTCAGCCACATAAATGTGAGCCATGCCGACAAGGACTGGGTGTGTTCATGTTGGATAAGGTAGTTGCTAATTCAGTGTAGGTCCTTGCGCAGTCAGCTACAAAAGTTGCAGTAGATGTCCTGTCTGCATCTTGCAGTTGTTTCCTGTTGCACCTTTGTAAAAGGTGGGGAGTGTAAATTCTGTTGTTGCTCTTCAAAAAATGAACCTTGCTTGGTACTCAGGAGCTTCTGATAATAATACAGAGAACCTGAACTACAGATTACCTGTGCTAGTGTTGATACATGGTGTTTATCAACTTGTATTTCCTGTTACTGCTATAAAAGAAGCATACATTACGTATTAATGTCTGGATAATGAACCTGAGGTACAGAAGAACTGAGGTTTTTAGCGCTTCATTAGCCCTTTTAGCCCTAGGAGAAATTTATCACAACTGAAATTATGATTGAGGAGTTGGTGGCTGCTGCTTGTATGCCTGGACCACAAAGTTTAACATGGTGTTTTTTATTGAAAAGAATCTTTAAGGAATTTTTCTAACTGGTGTAATTAAACCATAACCTCCATTATCTTAAGCAAAGTCTTGAACTTTTCACTTCAGCAAGTGACTTTATTTCTAATGACTGAGACAGTTATGTCTAACATTTACAACATAACTCCCACTTGCCATGTGACCCTGTTCTGAGAATTTTGCATGAGAACTTGTTGTGTTACAATAGGAATGTGCATTTATCACAACTGAAAAGATGCAGTACATTCACTTATTGTTTACTTGTGCATTTGTTAGCACATTGTCAAGTCAGTTCCCAACTGTGCTAAATAATATTCCTAAAAACAAGTATCAAAAAGGGGGCAAAAATAACTCCTTTGATAACGTCCCTTGCCAGCTCCACCCTAGCAAGTTCATGGTGTTGATTTTCAAAAGGCTTTCTATGAAAAATACAAAAATATTTTTAACTTGGAAATAATTCATGTGGATTGCATTCTTAAAAAAATAAAAATGTTACAGTTAAAGGAATGAGAGTATGTATTCAGTGGCTTCCAGAATCTGCTCCTGTCATCTATTTAGATTTTAAATACTGATATTTAAATTATACTTGTACTCTTGTTTATTCTGCGTGTTCTCTAGTGGAAGTATCTGGGTTATGCTTTAGGAACTGTATACATGTCAGAGGGAAAAGTTTCTACTTCTTTCTGTTAGTGTTATCTTAGTGTTATCTGGTATCTTTAGAAACAGACATACTATATGTTGCTCTTTTGGAAGTGCAAAACCTGCAAAGTTGAAACCACGCCATTTAATCAGCTTTGACTTGTGCGTTATTTAAAATTCAAAACCTGTGGGCTTCTTTTAGAACTTCCTCTGAGATCGTTTTAATTTTCTGCATCTAGATACTGAGTTAAGATTATTTGCTTCTCTCACTAGACAGATATTAACACAGTTGCTGGAGCTCTTTTCACATCCTTATCTGTTCTACAAAAGATTGTTTCTGTCTTCACTGCAAGTTGTGGTGTTAGCTGTCTGCTGTGCTGTGGATGTAGAGGCATGGGTGATTTCCATTTCTGGAAAAGTGAACTGAAATACCACTGTAAACCCATTCTGAAAGTGTGCAGCATTTCATTCCCTTTGACAGCAATTACAGAAGAAATTTGTCCAGTCATCTAAAGTAAGGTTGTTTACTGTGTTTCATGAATTTGTCTGGGTGCATTTTCTGTTCTTCATTCTCCTTCCCCTCTCTGACCCCAGATGACATGAATTTGTCACAGAGACTTTGTTTACTGGGTGTGCTCATCACAAAAATGTTTTTATATAGCTCTGTAGATCAAGGTCAACGTGAACTCAAATATTACTGCTTTACTTTTACTTATCTTTGGGTATAACTCCACAGATTAAAACATCACCCTCTGCAGTAGTGGTCTGCATTGTAAAATCTACCCTTAGTAACAGAGCATAGCTAGTATAATCCCAAAACCTGATCAAGGGGCATTTTATTGTCTCTGCCTAAATTGTTCTTACCTCCGCCTGCCGTTCTGGTAAAGTGAGAGTTTTTATTTGTTTGTTTCTTGTCCAAAATACAACAGTGTAACTGCTCTAGTGATTTTTATGCATGATGCTTCAGAAACAATCAGTTCTTTCCTCATTTACCAAACGGTTAAGCAATGTAAAGCACTTGCTCTGGGAACCACGCAGTATTTTTAATGCATTGATAACCTCTGAACTACTAAAACAAGTCAATGGGGCAGGCTTGTAGCACAGGCAGGAAGAGCATAACTGCTGGGGATTGAAATGCTGTTGTTCCAGTCAACTAAATTAATTTCCTTTTACAGGAATGGGGTTTTAAAGTAGTGAATATTTTCTACCTAGTTGTTCTGTACTTTATACTGATGCATAAATATTTATGGCACATGTCTCTCTCTGACATCCTTATGATAAACCACTAAAAATAACATGTTCTGAAGTGGATCTGTAAGCATTTACACAGTGATTTGGAGGGGCTTCTTTTTGTTCTTTGATACTAACACAAGCCAGCAAGTGGTTTAAAATCTGAATGAATTCCTGAAGGGTGCAGGCCTCTGTGGGTACAGATGGACACTGATAGAGGAGCTGGGTATCTCAGGCCTCCTGTAACTGTGGCTCTGGAATTCAGCCCCGCTGATGAGTAGGCAGAAACAGCACGTACACAAAGTGCAGATAAATGTCTTCTGCGGCTCATTCAAGGCTGCTTGTATAATTAAACAATGACTAATGCTCACTGTGCAGCGGGAACTACTGTACGCTTGTTCTGTCTGCTGGAAGAAAAGAATTTAAGAAATGGCTTGGGGTGCTATCTGCCAGAAATCCCCTGGAATTTAGTGAAATTTCCTTACAGTTTGCAGCTAGGATATCTGAATACCACTTGAGTTCCAGTTCTCTTGCTGGCCTTTGTGGCAGTGTTATGACTTGCACTTATGTACAAATACCTGGCAATGTCTTCAAGCTTAAGAATTAAACTACAGGTATTCCCTTTTTATGTAAACGCTGATCTGCTTGAAGATAAAAGGCTGAAGCAAGAAATGTTTTTGCTCTTTCTTAGCACCAAAAGCAACAGAATTCCCTAGAAGGCTGCGTTAAACACTTCTGCACAATTTAGCTGTTTGATCTACAGTTCATGTGGGTGAAGCAAAAATTCTGAATTAAGTCCTTGTTGTAAAAGATGCTGGGCTGTTGCTTCCAGTAAAAGTTACAGTGCCTAAGTAAGAATCACACAGCCTGGATACCTTAATCCCCTCACTTTTCAGTTCATGTCTTGTAAAGTGGGGGATACTAGAACTGCTGTGAATATCGGGGGTGGTGTAAATGTAAATACCCTGTTGTAGCTGAAATGCTGAAGGAGCCTGGTGAAGGGGACAGAGAGTCTTGAGTAACTAAGACTGGATGTTGGATACAAAGAGACACCAGTTAACTGTTTTGTGTACGGGGAGGTGGTTCTAAAGAAGGTGTAGATACTCTAACAATAATAAAAGAAGCCATTTTTCCCAGGTTTAATCCATGTGCATCTTGTGATAATGTTTCCATGTGACTCTTCTGTTCTAGATGACCAAGCTGGGTGTGTGGTTATTAAATCTCAGGAAAGAGAAAGTTACAGCTAAGCAATTGAACAGAGTACATTTGTTGGAGTATCCACTGATCCAAGAGCTAAGGACTAGGAAGTCAACTTACTCTTTGTTAGCTGGGATCTTGTTCTTCCTGCTTGGTTAATTTCATGCATTAGAAAGGATGTAATAGATCATGCACTTTACAGTGGTTTCTAGGTTTCAAATTAATGATGCAGTGGATTACCAGTATCTAGTTGTAAAGCACTGTTAACAAAGCCTTGAGGTTTCCTGCGGTTCCTAAGGTGGGGGATTCCAGCATGCATGAACTCCATTTTCAAAGCAGGAATGTTCTAGCTACTGTGAAAATTTTTTCATTTCTAACAACTTTGCTATAACTACCGTCACCTTACCGTGCTCACATGCTACTTCAGTGTCTGTGATTCCTGTCATTCTAGGTTGGATCCGGTATGCTGAGAGAGTACTCACCAATCTTGTGACCTCCCACATTTGCACTGCAAAGTCTCCACAGCAGATCATGGGCTCCCTGGTGAAGGGCTACTTTGCCAGGCAGCAGGTACGTAATTCTGCCGTATTTTTACCATTATACTCTTCTAAAAAGATGAGGTAGTATGTTCTAATGCAGAAATGTAGATCTTGGTGTATTCTAAGCATCCTGAATTTTGTCTTTTTACTTGAAGAATAAATGCTGCTCTACTGCCATACACGTAAGCGTCCATGAGAAGAACAATCTACAAAGAATCTTATTTGTGGGCTGGCAGCAATCCTTGTGCTCCCAGTGCAACATGGATTTAGCTGCTTAGAGATGAAGTTAAATCCAGAGTTGCTAGTGAGATCCTTGTTATATACTGCCTGTGTAGTTCTGTAGAAGTTAAAACAGGAGTAGAGGCGAGTGCTGTGGAAATTCCTTCCTATCCAGAACCAATAAATGCATTGTATGCCGGAAACTAATCTTCTTATCTTTACAATTTTTTATGTTGAAAAAGTTGCTGTTCTTTGTACATACCATACACTTAACTGCATTCAGTTTATATAGAAAAATACTGCTATCTCCACAGAAACAGAGATAAACTGATGCACTTGTGGCTGAAAGTGAGTGAGTGACAGAGCTAGAAAATGGAGTTCAGACATCCTGACTTGCGCTCACTTCTAAGGCAGTCAAAAGCTACAAAACCACACGTCACATAGTCTGAAGGAATAAGTAGAAGCTTCAGACAGAAGACTGTCTTCAGATGTTGTTTGCTCATGTTTTTGACTTCTGGCAAACCACGTCACGTGTGCTGCAGTCTTCAAATTTATTTCTACAGATTGATTTCTAATATTACCTGTATGGAAAGTGTGGTGTTATTTTTACCTTTGTCATCCTTAAAGCTGTCCTTTGCTTTCTGTGGAGTTCACATGTGCTCTCTTCTCCGTTGTGCAGAACTTGTCTCCAGATAAAATTTTCCATGTAATTGTGGCGCCTTGTTATGACAAGAAACTGGAAGCCTTGAGGGAAGATTTCTACACCGCCTTGTATAATTCACAAGAAGTTGATTGTGTTCTAACATCAGGTTAAATCTTTAAGCTTACTATTTGTAAAGATATGCATGAATCTCCAGTTTTTATGCCAGGCTTTTTTTTTTTTTTCCAAAGTATATTTTAATTGTATGGTGGGCTTTCTTCTGCTTTACAAATAAATACATTTTTTTTTTTTTTTGTGCTACTGGTAGCAGTGGTATTCTATATGGAAGGCAAAACCAAAAAATTCCCTTTTAAGTCCATGATCAAGATTCAGATACTTAGTTTTGTTAACCCCTTAAGAAAAGTAAGAGCTATGCAAATCGATGTTACAAATCTTTGTCTTGCTTATGTATGGCCATATCTCTACTGGGATTATTTTTGCTGTGTGACACCAGTGACTTTTTGGTGTGGCTCTTGTCTTTTAGGCTTGATGTCCAAACAATATATCCTCCTTTTTCATTGCAAAGTAGAAACTACTTGTTCTAAACTTTACTCAACAGAAAGGTTAAGTATCATTATGCAAAGTTCGGAGCAAGCTGAAGGCCTTTTTCTTCAGGGCTCAATGTATCAGGCTTCTGAGTTATTGGAGGTAACTGACTCTAAGAAGTGGAGGATGTGGCTGTAAGCACATGGAGGTGTTGGGATGTCGATCTCTTAAATGCATGGCATGTATGTTCTGCTTTGTGTTGAAAGTAAAATGTCCTGTATTTTCCTACAGGTGAAATTGTCCAAATAATGGAGCAGAAAAATGTGTCTATGAAAGATATGACTGAAGTAGCTGTGGATAGTTTGTAAGTAGCTTTGTTGTGGATTGCTTCCTTATTTTGATGACAATTGACAAAACCTTTGGGTGTTCAACATAAATGTAAAACTTCTCAAAGGAACATTTTTTCTTGCTAAAGCAAAAAGTCGGCATCAAAGCCTGAATATATTAAAGCCTCATCCTTTCAGAAACTTTTAAAAACTGTTTTTAAAATCTGATTTTTGAAGATTTATTTAGCTCTGTGTTTATATTGCAGTGCTGTAATACTAGATTTGGCTATATCAAGTTCGTGACTTGCTAGTTAAGTGTGACTGTCTGAGGGTGTTGACTCCATTCAGTGCTCTCCATTCCTTGAGCACGTCTAAAGCTAACAGTCTCGTCTGCCCCCTTCCAGCTGCCTGGCCTCACCATGATGCTGGGCTGCCTCATGGGCTGGCCATCTGTTCTGTGCTTCCCTTTCAATCAGAGCAGCACTTTGACAGTAAATTTCCACTTTCCCCTAGTATGTTCATGGAGAATTGTTTGAAATAGCACCCTTTCATGACAATGGTAATTCAGTTTTATCCTAAACAGGGCAACTCACTTTTTTTAAGATAGATAAAATTGAAACATGCTTCAAGGTGAAGTGTAGCAAATGAAAGTAACACAAAGATTTGAAGAGGTTTTTTGTTTGTTTGTTTTTTGTTTTTTTACGGCTATGATTAGCCCTGAAAGCAGCATGGGTGGTGTTTTATTCTTCAGGCTTAGATACAGAGGCTGGTTTCAGTGCTCAGTGATCTTTGTTCAAGTGTGACAAATGTTACTTGGTATCTTTCCAGAGTGGTGGTGGTAGAGCAATAAACATGCTTTCTTGCACAGAATGGAAAGCTTTGGAAATTTAAATAAATAAATAAATAAAATCATTGCAGTTAGTATCCGGCTTATATCTAGTCTAGACTGGTGAAATGAAGTTGTACAGTGGCAACAGTTTCAGGGCTGTGGTTGTAGTATAGCCCTGATTTACTTTTACTGGAAGCTGCTACACAGAATAAGATTTAGATTAAGTATAGTTTTCACAGACATAATCACATAGAGGTAATCATTTCTTTCATAATCAGCATGTCCAATGGAAGAGCAAACTCTTAACCAGAATATACCTGTATTACTACATCAGTGTATATTGGGGAATAATGTTTGTTTTAAGAATGACAAATCTGATGATACTGTTGAAAGCTGTGAGATGTGATCACGTTTTGCTTTTGTTGGGTCTTAAAAGCAGATTTCTGTAGAGAAATGTACATAAATAGAAGTATTCTTCTTTAAAACAAGTTGTAGCACAGCACCAATTTGTGGTCAAGTACTTGTTCACAATAATTTTTAATATCTAAGTAACTTAGTACAATTTTCAACTTGCTTTTGTATCTGGTGAATGCTAACAATGAGCAGTTAGCTAAAATTAGGAGACCATCTCACAAAGCAAAATGACCCAAGGTTATCAAATTGAAGTTGGAGTACTTCAATAAATGTAATGGCATGGCACAGGGCAGTACTAAATATATAAACTTAGCTCTTTAGAATTACAACTTCCACTTTTTTTAGTAAGGTGTTTGCTGGGGTAATTTTCCCTTTGTTTTCCTGCTTGGATGCTATGTTTGGACTGCTCAAGCAAAAGGCAGCACTGTATAGACCTCAGGAAAGGGAAGAAGGCAAATTAAATTATAACTGGAGAGGCTTTTGCATGTAACAGCAAAGGATGTAATCTGTCCATTCATTAATCTGAAGAAGAACATTCCTTCCTGAAACTAGCATTGCCACACACCCCTCTAGATTTCTCCTTTTCCAAGAAGGAACATGAGCCTGGAGAGGTGCAGTCTTTGGCTGTTGCCAGCGTGCATCCCAGTACAGTTTATACTACAGCCAGTTGTGCTCATCAGCGCTCTGCTTTTAACTGGGTAACAGAGGGATGCTATGTCCATTAGGTATGATGTTAGTAATTTTCTTTGCTCACTGTAGAGCGGCACTTACCTTAAAGCTGCAGTGCTCTAGTGCAGTGGCAACTGCACTGATGGAGCTATTTTAATGGCACGACGTTAGACTGACAAATAGTTCTGCAGGAGCAGACAAATTATCAGAAAGGCTTGTAACTTCTGAAGTGCTCTTATGTGCTTCTAGGCTAAGAATTCCTCATGTCAAAGTTGATAAAATATTTTTGTGCTTACTTTTTCGCTGTTTTTTTTGTTTTTTTGTTTTTTTTTTCCCCAAAAATGTCTTCTGAGCAATGAATTAACTGGGTCTGTAAACTGCCGAATGTGATTCCTGTAAATTACTGAAGGTTTCTGAACATGGAGAGCCCTGCATCCTCTTACTGTTCTTCTTTTATTTTTCCCGACATCTTACTGCTGTCCTTAAAGGGTTGAATAAAAAAAATAATAATAAAGCTATGGTCTCACTGCTATGAAACTTTTTTTTTTTTTTTGGGGGGGGGGGGTTGGGTGGAGAGAAGGGAAGAAACATGCTACTTGCTTGAAATGAAGGAACTAAATTTAGGAGTTGACCTTTGTATTGTTTTCTAAGGTTTGGTGAAATAAAGGAGGGAGATGTAGTAAGGCATGATGGGAAGAGATCTGATGGTTACCTGGAGCACATTTTCAAACATGCTGCCAAGGAGCTTTTTGGCATGGATGTCAAAGAAATCACCTACAAAGCATTAAAGTAAGTCACAGTTTTGTATCACTGTTATGTAGGATGGGCTGGTTAGCACTAAAGTGAACCCTGGCAGAGTTGTTACTAGTCTGTGTCTTTCACTGATGGGCAGTTATATATTATGGATAAGTAAATCTGTTGCTTTAAAATAGCTTCTGCTAGCTTTCATTTTATTAATAACTTACTTGCCTTGAGAAATTCAGTGTAGTACTATCCAGAAAATTTCACTCCACCTTCTATTTTACTGAAGACTTGTGTTCCATGTTAAGCATCTGGATACAAACTGACACAGCTGGATCATCCCTTTGGCAATGCAGGGATTTAAAACTTTATTTGTATACCTTCACAGGAACAAGGACTTTCAGGAAGTCACCCTTGAAAAGGATGGTGAGACGGTATTGCGTTTCGCAGCGGCTTACGGCTTTAGAAATATTCAAAACCTGGTTCTGAAGTTGAAAAAAGGAAAGTTTTTATACCACTTCGTAGAAGTCCTTGCCTGCCCAGGAGGTAAGAATGTTAGTGGATGTACAGTCATTCTGCAGGCAAAACTTAAATCTCAAAGGAAGGTACTTACAGGCAGACACTGTTTCATTCCTTCTTAATTCTCTTCTTAATAATCTAAAATGCTTAATATTTAGTGACTGGTCTAGAACAGCAATTACACATATACAGGATTAGCTCAGAAATTGATTGGATTTTCTAAAATTAACCACAACATTATTTGCTCTCTTATGACCTATAAATAAATGACAGCATGATTCCTATGATGATTTCAAACCTCAGAGGAAGCCTCTGAAATGGTGGTTGTCAAGGGCAAGAAAAGACAAGGAACATAATTAAGATCATAAAACCACAGAGAAGGCAGAGAAAATAGTTGATATGTAAATGAAGTTTCTATAAGGATGTTGATACTGGAGTCACTTCAGGGAAATACAAATTTGAACAGAATGGGGGAGGGTGGATTTTGTAAAGAAACAACTTTTGTTTTGCATACTGTCTACAGGAAGTTGCCAAATTTCTCCTTATATCAAATCTTCATCACTGTGTCTCTTTTCTTTTTTTTTTTTAAGGGTGCCTAAATGGAAAAGGCCAGGCACAAACTGAAGATGGGAAACCAGATAAAGCGCTGCTTAACCAGATGGAAGAAGTGTATGCTGCAATACCTGTTAGACTTCCAGAAACCAACATGTATGTACAAAAGATGTACCAGGACTGGCTAGAAGGCATGGACTCCAGTAAGGTCCAGGAAACTTTGCACACCAAATACAGTGCAGTAAATCAAACAGCAAGCAGTCTGGATATCAAGTGGTAACCAATCAAACTTTGAAAGAATTTGCTTAGGTTAGTTACTGATTCAGCACTGGAAACATTCTATGCAATCGCAGATGCTATGCACTAGCCGAGTGTATGAATGAGACGCTTTCCTAGTTGTGGATTCTTAGTTGTGAAGAACCATTGGTTTTTAAAAACAAAAAGAGAAGTTTCCAAAAGCCCTGGTTCCTGCCATTGTCTGTTAACTCTTACTGTATGTTCTCTCCTGTGTGTAATGAACTTCTTCATTCAAAAATGTGATCTTGAAAGGTACGTAAGCACTTCCTGCCAGGTGCAGGGAGTGTGAGTCCTGATTAAGCTACTCCAGATTGAGGGTTCCCTTCACTTCACAACGTGGGCTTTCCCAAGAAGGCGAGACCATCTCACTCCTACTGCTAGGTGTGCAATCCCTTTCATCATGGGAGAACAGTCATCGTGAATTTCAATATTATTGCAGTTGTTATTATAGTAACTTGGGATTTACTTGCTTTGTTAATGAAAACACCAACAACGAACAACACATATAACAACAACAACTTTGACAAGTGTGTATATGCAGAAGCGTAATGAATTTATGTATGCCTTCTATCAATATTTCAACAGACATTATTCAGATCCAAACTAGAATCACCATTCTTTACTGATGTAACATTGTGTAAGGAACAAGCTACTTCACATAAAATGAAATTGGGAAACTAATGTTAAATGGTTACAATGTAAGCCTTCATTAAAAATAGTTACAAATAGTTGGTTGATTGGTACAAAAAGATAACTTTTCTTTCCTCTTAGTTTTCTCATAAACTTGCAGCTACGAAGACTGGTGCTGCTTACATTAGCTTTTTTATGAAAGTGAAACATGCACATGCACTGTCATGTGAGCATGTGCATAGTACAACTTTCTTAGATTTGCTGAGCCAGACTCGCAGCACTTCTATTCTCATGTTTCGGTACACAGAATACCAGATTGTTCTTTTTCACTTTTCTCCATGGTGACAGACTTCTGTAAAAATGGAGTTTTTCCACTTCATGGAGTGCATCTGAAAAAATACTTAGCACTGCTTGTGAGCTCAAGTTATTATACATTGGCATCATTAGTTGTGGTGTCCCTACTTTTTAGGTATGCTATAGAGGTTTAATTTAAGAAACAAAGTGGTATTTGCATGCAAGCATTTTTGCACCTTCATGAGTTGTCAGAGAGGGTAGTAGAAGAATGTGATGGACAAAAAAAAGAATCAAACTATTGCCAAATGTCTTCAAATTTTCATAGTAGCATTGTATTCTTGATTAATGGCCTTTTTGAAGCTAGCACAGTTTCAGATTGTTTTCCATTCTGCAAGTGTGGATGGGCTTCGTTAGTCATTTCAAGAAGTGTTTGAATGCATCTTCTTGTGAATTTCTTAGTATTGCAACTGCTTGTGTGCATAAGTTCTAATACTGCAAAAGCCTGTCTCTATTTGAAATCAGCATTTAACTTGAATGCAGTGGATGGGACGGAGGCATTAGTAAAGGCAACACAAGTGCTTGCAGTGGCTAAACAACAGAGGCTCAAGAGTAGAGGGAGAGACTTAAGTGTGTTACCCTGATGACAAGAGATAGCTGAATGTGAAGCTGTTAATAGAATTGCAGCTTTTAATTGGACTTCAAACTAAATAAAATATTTCGCTTTGAGGGACTTGTTTTCATCAAGTGCACATGAATTCAATTACTGTGCTACCTGAATGCACACAATGAGATTATACCCATAAATTAGCCTTTGTAAGTTGTTCCTTGTTTTAATAAAAACATTATACTTACGTGGTGCAATATCAGAACATCTACAGAAATCTACCTCTGTACAGGAAGGGAGTCCAGAAATCATGGGAAGATCTATGTACAGCTAAAACTTTATTAAATGCTGAAGACAGATGGTGGTGTTGCATGAAACTTCTGAATAGACTATTAGAGGCAACACCTGTCCCCTTTGATCTCATTTTGCTTCTGTCATGATTTCCTCCAAAAAACTTCAACAGAAGTACCTTGTAATAAAGTGGTCTTGTTCTGTTTGTATAGGCATATGTTTCTATGTATATATGGTTTATAGCTTGATGGCATGTTTAAATTATATTGCTTCACTTCTTTGTATAGTGTGCTTATTTTTTATGTGCATATACTGGACAAAATGGTACGATAAAGTTGTTGCTTTTCTGATGAAATCTTCATTAAACTTCAAAAGAGCTGCCTTCCTATTCTGAAAGGATACCCTTGAACTGTTTGTACAACTTGAAAAATAGGTGGTACTGCTGTACATGTTTTCTTCTGCCATTGTGCTTGCCTGTTGCACTGAAGAGCCTTGCTTCCCCTACTGGTGGGAGACCCTTAGAATGGGAGAATAGGTGACAAATCTGTCCCCAGTATACTATGCTGTGCTCCCACCACAAGGGAAGTAGGTGGCTCAGTGCATAAAAATTTAAACTTTATCAGTTGAGTCCACCATTTCCTCCACCTACATAGTGATGTAACCTATTGAGATAGCAGTGTATAAATCTAGTAGAATATTTGTCTGCCCCAATATTCTTTTAAAGATGACAAAGGCATTAACTGAACAGCTTCTAGTGGCTAGGTGGAATGTATGTATTATAACTAATGACTTAGTGTCTGATACTTGTCCAATTTTTTGGTCAGTTTTTGTTTTATAAGAATTTTGGAGTAAAACTGATTTTAATTTTTTTTTTACCTTTTCTTTAAAGTGCCAGTTTAAAACAAATCAAAAACTCTTTAACTGTAATTAGTCGTTCCCCTTCCCTCTTCTTTCACTGAATTTTTTGCAGTTTATTGCAGATTATCTGTAGTGTAATACTTGCCAAAGATTTGATTCTGGCTTTTAAATTTACATTTGGCAAGTCCGTCATTGTTGACAATGTATTTCTAGCCATGCTTCCTGAAACTACAGCGCCATTTAGTTCTCTGATGCAATTTTTGGCAACTAATAATTTTTCTTGCTGCTGTGTTTTCAGCAATGGGACAAGTTCCTCGTGTGGTTGAATGTTGTGCTGAGACAATCTGTCTCTAGATGATTTTTAGAAAAGACTAAGTTGAAGGGATTGGGAGAGAGTAACTGGAAATGCTAAATTTTAATTTGGAAATTGTCCTGAGGTATTATTGGCAAGCATATCAAGTGGTGGATACCTCGGGTTATATAGCATTTTGTTCTGTGACTGCTACAACAGGGGATACACATTGTAATTTTGCTATGCCTTTTCCAGTAAGTTTGCCTCAGCCACAGAACCTTGTATTTGTTTGTCCACTGCAGTTAAAGAAGATGGACAGATAGGAGCTATGCTATCACTTAGAATATTGCATATATCGATGCGTAGCAGTCTCAACTGGATTATATTTGGATAAGGTTCAGTTACCTAAATTTCGGTGCTTTGTGTTCAAATGGAGCATGACCATGAATTGTCCTAATAAATATTGATACCGAATCATGTCCCGATTCCGTCTCATTACATGTAAAAGTTTTCCTCAACTTTCAGTATGCTTTGTTCCAACATATGTGCTTGTTTGATGAATTTACATGAAAACATAGTAAGCCTATAACAGTAATACTGTGATGTTTTTTAGGAGCATTCTGGACTACAGTGACATTTTTAACTGCTTTAAGGGGAACAAGTTTCTGGATAGGAGGATGTGGTAACATGTTCTCTGTGATTCTAAAATAATCCATTGAATTGTTGAAGGTACAGAAGCGTTTAGTAGCTTTAAAGTGTTTCTTATCTGGGAAGAAGGACATTGCTGGTAAAGCCAATCTCTGGTGGTTGAGTAGTTGTCCTGAGGTTTACTTCATGTGGTTAAAACACAAAACAGCAGGAAGCAAGGAGCAGTAAAGATACTTGTCCTGTGATAGCAGACCATGTCCCTGGGGAGCCTGTCCCAGTGCTCGGCCACCTCTGGGTGCAGAACCTTTTCCTACCTGCCCTGTCCCAGCTCCATGCCATTCCCTTGGGTCCTGTCGCTGTCCCCAGAGAGCAGAGCTCAGTGCCTGCCCCTCTGCTCCCTGTGAGGGAGCTGCAGGCTGCCATGAGGCCACCCCTCGGCCTGCTCTGCTTGGGGCTGAAGAAGGTACCTCAGCCTCCCTCCCCTCTGTGCCTTCGCCATCTGTGTGGCCCTCCTATGGCCACTCCCTGATAGTTGGATGTCCTTTTTGTGCTGTGCTGCCACAAACCGCTGAGCAGAGCAGGACAATCGCCTCCCTCACCCAGCCAGCAGTGCCAGGCCTGGTGCACACTGTGGGCTCATCTGTCAACTTGCCATGATTTAACGGGTTAA